TTCGCGACCTCAGTCATGTCAACAGTCTCAACTCTCTCAGAGTTCACATAAATGTCGAAACTTATCTGCCGCTCGAACCCAAACGGATCGACTATGATGTTGCAGAAGTGAAACCGGAGAAAGTAATCGAAGCCAGGCTCGATTCTGAAGTTCCAAGTTAGATTCGCGTTCGTGTTTGGATTGTTCTCTGAATTCAACCTCGTCGCGGTTCCGTAGACGTAAACCGGAGCAACGTCTTCCGTTATTCCACCACCGCCGGCGGTAAAGTTCACAGCTTTGAGGTTTTCCACAGGCATACCGAAATGGGCTTCTCCGATAAACGCGGAATCAGAATCCCATCGCCTCCATAGCTTGTCTTGATCTCGAGTCACGCTCAGATTCCCCATGTTTATCCGAGAGACGGTCTCAATCGCGTGAGTCCTGAGCTTGAGATTCTTCTGTGTAGCAATGAGTCCTGCTTCTTCGGGAAGGAGATTCTCCGGGAGCTTGAAAACTTCCACGGCGTTGATGAATGCGAAAGAGTCGATCTTGGGACGAAATTCGAGGGAGAGATGATCTGTTGAGATGTTTAAAGTGTATTCCTTGACGAGAGAGGTCTTCGAGGGTTTGTAGTCTCTGATCAGAGTGAAGTTCTGAGCGGAAACGGAGAACTTAGCTGCGGTGAGATCTCGAGAAGGTGAGACGAAGGGGAAGAAGTAGAGGCGGATTAAGAACCATCCGTGTTGTTTGATCGGGAATTTGTAAGTTGATTCGTCGGAGAAGACTCTCGCCGTCTCGAACAGAGTCGATTCGTCGCCTGAAGGAAGGGAATTCGAATCGGTGGTTTCGAGAGAGATTCCTTGCGTTGAATCGACGATTTCGGTAGGTAGATTGCTGTCGGAGACGAAGGTTCTGTTGTTGAGGGTTGCATTTTCCGGCGACCCACAGTTGATGAAGAAACTATCGGAAGCAGAGGAGATGTGTGAAGAACAGAGGACAGTTAAAACCCATAAAGTTAAGAGCTTTAGGTTTATCATAGCCAAATGAAGAACAGAGAAATCACCAGAAAATAAATGAATTGGAAGATAAATCAAAGAACAGAGAGGAGGAGAAAATGAGTGTCACGAAATTGTAACTATTTTTGAGATTTTTGAAGGAAAGAGGATAGAAAAATTGTGAGATGTGTTTGGAAAAAAGCTTCATGAACACAAACATTCACATCAGTTCAATAACTACGTGTTTCCACTTATGAATTGACCAAACGAATTAGGGATTAAAAAAAGTCTTGAATTTGTTATTTGGGGTTTAGAAAAGGGGTTTAAACTTTAAAGGAAAACGACGAGAGAGAGAGGGACAAGTAAGCTGATTAACAAATCTGTTGACGAAAATCAAAAGTTGCTTAACAAATCTTAAAATCAACAAGGCGCCACGAGAAAGTTTTGTATTTATGTGTTTTGTAAATTTCGTTTTCAACGTTTTGGTATGACAAGTTCAATTGAGCTGGAAATTCATCAAGATGCTTAGAGAAATAAAGTATTAAAAACAGAAAAGATTATAGAAACGAGGATAAGAAGCCAAAAGGAGGAAGAAGATAGAGGAGAGGAGGATTGAGATTGTGATTGTGATTGGAGACATAATAAATGATAAATCAAAAGACAACTATTTCCCACCGGCGGCAAACGTGACGTTAGGTTTGCATTGTTCAAGAAAGCGACAGAATCATTGTCTTTTAGGGTCTTTTTTCTCATGAAACAGTCAATATTTTTATTTATTTTTTCTATCATACATGATTTTTTGTAAACTAAGATCTTTATATTATTAATTGAGAAGTACATTCTAATGTTTGGATACAAGAATTAGAGAAACATCTATTTGGATAGAAAATAAATGGAAACAAAAGTTGTTTGGATATAAGAATAAGAGAAAAATCTATTTGGATAGAAGAATAAATGGAAAAAATTGTTTGGATACAAGAATAATAACTTAAAATAAACCGATGGTTTAGAAAACTTCCGTTTTCATCTCTTAAAAATCTGCAAAAAAAACTTAACATAATCTAACGATAATTCCAAATCAATAGAATATGCTTTTTGGATTTTCGGGTTTTTATAGACAAGTTCGGGTTTGGGTGAAAATCTGAGACATAATTTTATAGAGATATATATAGAGATATAGAAATTGTTCGGGTTTCTTTGAAAATTTCTGTTCGGGTTAGGTTCAATTTTTTTTTTCAGTTTAGGGTTTTCCGGATTTTTTAGATTTCTGGTTTTCGGGTTTAGATATATTAAAAAAATTGAGTATTTTAAAATTTTGATTAGGTATTGGGGTCGGGTTCCGGGTGAAAAAGTTTCCAGATTTTTTTGTTCAGTCAGGGTTTTCGGGATTTTTTTGATTTCGGATTTTCATGTTTAGACCTATTAAAAAAGTTTGGGTTTTTAAATTTTTTGATTAGGGTTTTTTGTCGGGTTCGGATTTAGGGTTTAAATTTTCTACACAAAACAACAACGTCACACCGCACAAACGTGCGGGTACTCTACTAGTTCATACTATTACTTGCAAAGTAAGAATTTCGAATAAAGGCACCACATTAACTCTCAGCCTCGGAATTACATAACTACCCTTAATGAAAATCTTGACAATATCTACAAAATTTCCTTTTCTATTAATATTCGTTTATTGTATTAAAACTTTAAAAATAATAGAAAATCTTGACAATATCTTCAAAATTTCCTTTTTTATTAATTATTCGTTTTGTGTATTAAGACAAAAAAATTATAGAATTTATCCTATAAAAATAATAGAATTATAATTCTTTGTATAAAAATAAGAAACCCTAGGTTTTAGAATTTCGAATGGAGCCACCACGTTAACTCTCAGCCGCGGAATTACAAAAATACCCTTAATAAAAATCTTTTTAATATCTTCACTTTATAATTAATTAACTATAAACTATACTTTTCTTAAATTTGGAAATTCTGATAAAATTAACTTTTTTTTCTTACATGACAATGTCGGCATTTACAAGAAACCCTAATTTTCAAGACTTACATATATCTTTTCGAAGTTTCTTTTGTTATTATTTTCAACATTCAATATATTTTTATCTCCTCTTTCTCCTAGGTTTTGATTTCTCATAGGTTTCGATGGATTTTTTTTGTGTGTTATAATTCTTTATTAAACCATATGTCCTATTGTTCAGATCCAATATCAAATATCTAACACTTATTTTCTATGGCCGTCTTGGTTTTAGTTGTGTTCCTGCATGGTTGTAATTTTAATATGTCACACTGATCTTTTTCTTATTACTTTGTTGCTGTTTTCTCCTTTTTATTTGGTTCGTTGCGAGACTAATTTTTTGGCTTTTTGTTTTAGTGTTTGCAGAGAAAAAATCATAACTACTATTGAAAGAAATAATCGGTTGTACAAGAAATACCAACAACAAAAAAGGTAGATGGTTTGATTTTGATACTTTGAACGTGTTTACTTTTAATATATATTTCATATGATATAAGTAACAATTAGAGTTTAAACCCTAATTGTTTCTTATAGTATATAAGAAGAGCGTGCGTCAAATCTATGTAGACAAATTCTTGACTTTTTATGTTATTAGAAAATTTTCTCTGTTAATTTCTATTCTTGTGAATTCCATATGTTTCATCGATCTCTTCGTTTTTTATTTAGTTTTTCTTTGAAAAGAACTCAACTTTTTGCTACTTCTTTTCGTTTAAATTGACTTTTTCTGTTTTAGTTTTTCTATTTCACCTGTTTATTTTTTTTTTTTGCTGTAAATTCCTCTTGACGCTATTGCACTAAACATTGATGGTTGCTTTCATATTGAGATTGGTCATGGTTGTCGAAAAATTGGGTTGAGAGTTGTTGTCATCACCGCAATTACTTTTGACCCAAGAACTTGGTTATTGGTAACAAAGTTTAGATGGTTATCAAACAGTTTCTTGAGATTATATTTACTAATAAAGTTTCTTCAGATTTTGGCGGAAATATGTAATTTTGGCCATCATCACCCTATCGCCTTTACTCAAAGCAAGATGGATCGAATTTGAATGTATGTATTGCTTGAGTTTGATGCTTTGAAGCACGACTCAGAATTAGGGAAACCTGCTGGAATACAGTTTTGGTTTGGAGACTTGCTCAAATATACAACCAAGACCAGGATTAATTGTCATCTCATATTCCCTTGCCGAATACTTACTTTTGTAAGAATAATTTAATCTGAAAATATGATTACAGCTGGAAACATTTGATATCTTCATAGACCTTCTGATCTGAAAATCTAGCTTTCATTATTAGCCATACTTCTTCTGTTGAAACCGTCATGCATAGCACTCCAATCATCTCCTCTGTTTTGGAAGTTCTAATTAGTTATTTTCTTAATGAAAGGTGTGTAAGATCTGCTACAGAAGTTGATGGGTTCAGGGTGGAGTATAATTTGGAACTGATGTGGAGAAACTCATGACCATATAACTCTGGAATCGATCATATATATTTTTTCTGTGGGAGCCCTAACACCGTCCTAGCTATTTGCTTTCAAAGCCAGAAACTGAGAGTTTAAAGGAACATAAACCATTGATGTTACAGATGCTGTTGTGTCCAACATCTGTGCTGATAGTAGATTGATTCAAATATTGATATTAAACGGAACCCTAGCAATGGCTATTGTCTCTGTTAACATTTTATGGTCGATCTACAGTTCTTGGGTTAATATAAACTTTTGGATTGATCGATGATCAAAGGGTTGTGGCTCTTGAAGTTGGCTTCACCAACAGGTTGTGCTCTTGGCAGGGTTTGTTACATACTAACAATATTTATTTTATTTTTACGAAGCTAAGCAGTACTGTGCATATTATATTCGTTGATATACCCAAAAACGTTTTCTATGATGGATAACGACTTTGCACATGGTAGAAGTTAGTTTTTGACTCTTTTTGCACCTATAGATAATACATAAAAATTAGTTTTTGTTTTGTTTGTTGTGAACTGCATCTCGGTGAAAAAACAAAAGTAGTGTCGTCGAGACTATATTCCAAACATGGACGATGCAACAACGTTCGCTCAGTCGGTTGTAAAATTGCCAATTTTTTTGGGATTTGCATATTAACTATCCTGAATGTAATCGTTTGAATGAGGGATTTGTGATGGTCTTAGTCTGCCGACGTGGAGAGAAATATTTTTCCATGATTTTCTGTTTTAATCCATGGATGACAAGGTATCCAAACAAAGAAAAAGTGATTTCAGTGGCTTTTCGTTTTTGTGTTGACATCAATATTTCTGTTTAAATTGATTAATTCAGGAGCTTGATTTAAAGAACACAAAAAAATGAAAAAAAAAATATAGTTTTTAATGCTTGGTTTGTTTTTGCTCTCCTCTTTATTTTTGGGTTACTATAGATAATTATATATAATCATATTCATACAGATTTTCTTTTTTTGTCTTTTGAATATGTATTTGTCTAATAATAGTTTATATTCCTAGAAAAAAAATAAAACATTAAGAAGAAGATAAACCAGGTAAATAAGATGTTAGAGAAGACAAAGGTTGTGAAGAAGGAAGGAGGAAGAGACATGAACACAAGATTAATTCTGAAGAAAATAAATTGTTGAGAAAAACCAATAAAGAAAAAGTATGAAATATGAGAAGATGAGAAAACATAAATAAAAGAAAATAAAGGGGAAGAAGAAACTGATAAAAAAGATGTTGAAAAAAAGAAAAAGATTGAGAATACTAAATGATGAAGAATACAATATGAAATAAGAAGAAAAACCTGATTAATAATAAGGAAAAAACGAAAGTTGGAAGACGTAGACGAAAAAACAAAAGAAACAAAACAGAAAGAAGAAAAAAATTGAAGAATATGTGAACAACAAAGAAGTTGGAAAAATCAAAAGATAAAAAATAAAAAATAAGAACACAAAGCCAATTGAAAAACAAATTGTAAATAAAAGGAAGAAAACAAATAAAAACCAGGAAATAAAAAGATGGCGATGAAGAGAAAGGAAAATAAAAAGAGAATAAAAAGTTTGATAAGAATAAGAAAAAAAATGGTAGAAAATGAAGGAAAAAAATTATGAAAGAAGTAAAAGAAGAAGATATGGGGTTGGGGTTTATGATATACGGTTTGTATTGATTGGCGTACAGTTTAGTTTTTGATGCACTTTAAAAATTCTGAATATAATACATTACCGATTAAAAAAAAATTCTCTCAAGAAAAAAATAAAAATAAAAGCAAATCTAGAACCAATTTATAAAATGTGGGGTTCGGATGTGCGGTTTGGGGTGGGGTTCGGGTGTGCGGTTTGGGGTGGGGTTTAAGTTTAGGGTTAGGGTTACTTTGGTGTGGGGGGGGGTTGTTACACGGTGGGGTTTGAGTTCAGGGTGTATGGTTGTTTAGGGGGTGGTGTTACATTGTGGGGCTTGGGTTTATGATGTAGGGCTTATATTGGTGGGTGTAGGGTTTAGTTTTGGGTGCATTTTTAAACATTTGAATCGAAGAATATCATAATTAAAAATCATTGATTAAAGATTTATATCCACCTTTCTAAATTACATTTACAAATAGAAAAATTAACAATTAAAGCAAATTCATAATGGAAAGATAACAAAACCAATAGATTTTTAAATATCTCGACTATATAAAGATAAAAATTATTTCACCAACCCTTGAAAATATTAACTATCGAATGAATTGATAGGTGAAATGCAAGACGTAGACAAGAACGAATAAAAACACAAGTAAAAGAAAAGAAGACAGTAAAAAAGAAGATGAGAAATTTGGAGAAGAAGAAAAAAACGAATATGATATTAGAGAAGACGAATATGACAAAGATAGAGAGAGGGGGAAATGAGGATGAAGAAAAACCGACAAAAGAATATAAAGAAAATTAGAAATAAAAAGAAGAATAGTGAGCTGGAAGATATGAAAATATTGGAGAAGAAGAGACAAAGAAGAGATAACTAAAAACTTGAATAATATGGTGTTAGAGAAGACAAAGGTGATAAATATAGAGAGGATGATGAAGAAGAAAAAACCGAAAAAGAATGTAAACGAAATTAGATGAAAAAAGAAGAATAGTGATTTAGTGAGTTGGAAGATCTGAAGATATAAGAAAATATTGAAGAACAAAAATTGGAAGAAGAAAAATAAAAAGGTGATGAAAACAAATATAAAATTAAAAGAAAAATAAGAAGGTGAGATAATTGCAGAAGAACAAAAGATAACAAAATAAGAAGTGAAAAATCTTTTGTATCTTTCTAAACGAATGAAGAAGATTATATAGAAGAACGAGAAATGGAAAATTAAAATAAGACACATCAACATTAAAGAAATAAGAATTTGGCGAAAACAAAAAAAATATATATAATCTAAAATTCTACTACTTATATTATTAAAATATTTAATTAATTTATTAATTTTAAAAATATTGTACCCGCATAAAGTGCGGAGCAACCACCTTTTTTCAGATATATGACCAAACTAGCACGTTGACAATTAAAACAAAAAATAAAATAAAAATATTGTTCTTACAAGTAGAAAAATTCGAAATCATGTTAGTAATACGACGTTATACATGTGGTTGTGTCATACAAATCACAAACATATAATATTAATAATATTTTATTTAAAAAATGAATCCTGATACAATGAACTACAACAATTTTCTTATTTAATCATAATTTATAATTTAATAATTATTTTGTTTTTTTTTTGTATATCTTAAACCGGCCACAAAAAGAATACTATTTTGATTACATCTGCACCGAACAATATCATATCCGATAATACAATAGTTGCCGGACCACGTACAAAAGTTCACTTGGTCACTTAATAATTTTTCCTTGAGATATGTTTCTTCTATATCCATCATGTCGTATATTATAATTAGAAGAATCTTTAGACTATTTCTTGAGGCTTTGCGTGTCTGAAAAATATATTTTTTTCGACGTTTTAATTTTTGGTCCAGCTAGAAATAGGAGAAATCATATATCAAAATTTGGTTGATGAATTACTTTATAAAATTGCATACACCCGCTCGTGTTATTAACTTATCCTAAGGAATGTTATCACTTATTCATTTATCAATAAATTTTGTTTTTGGTGAATTCATTTATCAATAAAACAAGCTTAAGATTTATAAACCAAAAATTTGCAACGGAAGTACGGAGCGCTGATTGCGGTTGACAGAGAAACATTTTTGAAGGAAAAAAAATACAAACAGAGAAGAAAAAAAACCAAACCACCTTGAACGTAGATATTGGAAATAACCTGAGTCAATCTTGACAGAATTACCACAAACTCATTAGCGTTTCAATTATCTGTCATCAAAAGAGGATATTTTCTTTTTGAATGAATTAGACTATACTTTCTTGTTAAAAGTAAAATACATTTTTTCGATAAACTGAATCATTCTGTACAAAAACAGTTTGCTGGAGGTTAATAAGTAGCCTTAAGTTCAAAAATGATAAGGGCCTAAGAATGAGGATGATACAAACATGGGCCGCATGGTGCAACTGAGATTTTCTTTGTTTTCTTTCATTTTTCAAATAAGTGCCGCACCAACTAAAAATACTATTACTTCTGAAAAATTCCACAAATACCATCATGTACATTGAAGTATTGAACAAAAACAGTTATCTACCTTTACTCGATTCCCTAAGAAAAATACTTGAAACTCTTCTTAAAGGTTTTTTGTATGAAAACTATACTTTATTCACGAACAATTTTAGATGACTATTATATACCTCAGATTATCACCCATAATAACAAGGTTAAACGTAAAAGACATTAACAGTTCTCAAACAAAGTAAAAGAAAAATATTAATACAAAAAAAAAAGTAAACGAAAAAATAAAAAGAGAAAGTAAAGTAAAGCGCTGGCTGGATACATTAATCTTATTTTAAGGCTTTGAAGTTTTAAATTCGATGCACACGCACAGATCAATCACACAAAGGATATGCTACACTCTAAATCAACCCACAGCTTTAGGTTCTCTTGTCCCCCTCACTCCCTTCTTAATTGCCTTTTTAGATTTGATTATTTAGTAACATTGTGTTGTCTTTAACCAAAACAAAATCAAAAACATTTTGTTTTAGGATTAAATTTGTAATGATGTGATCCTATTCTTTTCATTTGACCTTGGATTGATTTTTTAAATCACACAACCCGTCCCTCAACTCTTGTAAGAGACATACACTGGAGTACTTTCCTTTGTTCATCTATACTATCTGTCTAACATTTCATTTTTACTGCACATAACACATATGCGTAGGATAAACTCGAAAGTACGAAGGTAATGATGAGTGACTGGCAAAAATTCTTCATTTTTATTTTTTACTTGAACTTGCTAAAAATTTTAGTGACATCAATGTATAATGGATGATTGACTTAGACTCCTCCCTGATGTTTTGAGGTAATGGAATCCCAAATACTTCCAAAAGAAACTTCATGGGTCTTAAAACACATGTTAAGCTAATAATTCTAGCAGAACCACGATAATTTTATTTTTATAAAAAAATATGTAAACCTAAATGTAAAACGCGTAAGGCGTAACCGTATAAAGAATTAACAGTAAAGCTAAGTTCTCTTTCTTATATCTTCATTAGAAAAAAAGACGGTTTCGTAACCATTAAGCTTAGATAGTTTACCATTAAAAAAAATCTAGAGTATATATTAAAGTTAATAGAACTTTGACATAAAAATAGGACTCTAGAAAAGAAACATAACACAAAAAGTGGCTAATTAGACTTCGGGACTCGACCTAACCTCAACGTTGCTGTATACATCATGATGTCTTGTAATGATGCTTTTATACACATGAATTTCTCCATTGAGATATAAATAACTTGTTTATACAAATGACACTCAATTAATAATTTTTGTTTGGAGCGAAGTAGCGATCAGCTTTCTGAAAGCATGGATCCATGTTTCCCGATATGTCCTTCTTTTCAACTTTAAGAAGTGAACCTTTCTACGGTGATTACGACTCGTCTGACTCGGAACTCTCGTGTTTATGAAAATTATCATTTCAATCTCTCAATCACTATCCAATAAATTATATATTTTCTCTTTGACATTTGAGGTTCACACCTGCTAATATCACTATTTTGTGGTGATTTTAACATTGTGAGTTTGTGACTGCAATTTAACAATATTGGAGATTGATGATATTGTATCCGGGAATTTTCGCAATAACTAAATATAAAATAAAATCATTGCTGATAAACTTCAAAAAAATATGGTTAAATTTTAGTTATGCTTATATGAAATAAATTTCATCAACTAACATAAATAACATATGTAAGGACTAGGTTTAGTAATTGAGTTTGATATAGAGAAACTAGCTAGGTCAATAATTTTACCACATCAGAATTTCACACTTGGACATTTGCATTAATTTATAAGCCAATCATATTTGAGTTGATCTAGAAAACCTCAGACACAAGTTAAACTGAATCCAAAAACCGATATCCATTATTTCGGACACGAAACAAGTATTGGGATTTACAAAATCTCAACAAAAACAAACGAAGAAGCAAATAAGAGGAAAAATCAATAGAAAACAAAGAATCTGATCTCTAGTTCTCTCACTCTCACTCAACTCTTATTTTCTCATCTTCTTCATATCCAAATTTCTTGGTTATCCCCTACAGAGTTGAGCCCGTTCTTGATCATCCTTCACCCCAATTCTTGAAGCTGACAACGAACAGAATCCGACCTCGTTAGCACTATACTGCTTTTGCTTCTGTTCAAGAGATTGCTTGCAATGCAAGATAGCTCCTTGAATAGAATTCTCAATCTCTGAATTCGAACTCGGACATTTCTTTAGAAACTGCAACGGACGAAACCCTAGACTACTCGATGTTTTGTTGTTCGAACTCTTCGCAGGTTGTCTCCTCATAGAAACCGTAAAAGATCTCCTATGGCTCCCGGAAACAGAACCATTAACCTGTTTCTTAGGTCTCTCTGTTTTGACTTGTCCAAAAGGAGGCTGCACTCGCGAATACCTCAAAATCGATCCTTCATCAGCAACTCTTGACTCATCAGAACAACTTGACTTACCAAAGAATGATCTTAGATAAGCTCTTGAAGCTTTAATCTTCGTTCCAAGGTTCGATTGCTTGATCAATCCCAGTTTCTTGCCCCAAGATTTCTTCTCCTCCACGGAATCTGAATAATCAAGGAAATAGTCTTCAGGGTTAAGCTCTTTACTCACTTGACAAGACTCTACCGGAGAGACGGTGCACGACTCGAACGGAGTGTTGCTCGTCACCGGAGTTGTAGCCGTTCCGGTAGCTAAAGGAGTGCTGTAGAATTCGTCGTCGAAAGTGTAATCTTCTAGAAGCTTCTGGACCATTTGGAGACGTGGGGGCAAGTGGAGAGGGAGGAGTTTGCCTTTGTAGAAGAGTTCGTCTGCAGGAGAAGAAGTTTTGTCTATCTCGAGAGGACAAAGATGAGTCATCTGGAACTCGAATTCTCGAGGGTTGTTGTTGTTGTTGGTCAGAGATTTGCGTACCAGGCTTGTGAAAGAAGTTACTTCCATGTCTATGTAATCTTCTTCTACATCACTGTCGCGTCGCTCTAGATTATTCGCCATTTGTTTACGTTATGTTTCTTTCCTTGTGTTTATGTTTTGGTGATTAGAGAGATGAGTTGTGTTAAGAGTCGAAGAGGTTTGTTTTTATATATGTTAAGAGAGAATTAGTGTTAGGTTTTTGATTTGGTAAAGAGGGTACACTTGTGGAGTGTGGACCGTATTGTGTCTTTTTTTTTTTTTTTCTTTTGTATCAACTTAAAATAAGCCTGAGTACAGTATATTAGTTTCTAAGCTCGAATGAGTACCATTATAGTTTCTTGGATGGACCACCACTTGAAACTTGTACTCAAAATAAGGTGGGTCGATTTTAATAAACATAGGATTATTTATTTCATTTTCCTTTGAATAGTTATTTGATTGGCTCTAGAAAGCTAACGGGTTCATCAACGTCATCAATGATGATGATTAGTTCTTAAATTTATGAAAGAACGAATAGAGAGACAAAGTTTTGAAGAAAAACAAAAGTATCCAATACACAAAGAATTGGTTTTATAAACCTACCATGATCATTATTTTACTTATAATTATGTTTCTAAATGTGTATTTGTACTTGTTTCAGTTTGGCCAAGGGCGAGGATGAGAGACAATAATCTTGATAGAAGCCCACGTGTTTAGTATTTTTGTTCTGTCTTATTGGTTGCTTAAGCAATAAAGAAACGCATCAACAAGACAACAGTACAAAGCCAGTTTTCAAAAAAAAAAAAACAAGACAACAGTAACCAGATATGATCAACAATATGATTATGCTGTGACCCGTATGTATGATACATTGATAATACAAAGAAAATGTGTTTAGCTATTTCGTCTCTTTGCTTCATCGTGTAAATTTTTAATTGCGTTTATTATTATCTTTTTGTCTCGTATGTATTTGTAATATATAATGTTCCAGACATTTTACTTGATTCCGGGGTTTAATATCTCCATGAGAAAATGGTCTCTATCATTTTAAACGATATTCTTAAATGTACTTTCTATCACTTCTTAAGCATTGAGGAAAAATTTCAAACATTGAATCACTTTAATTATTATTAGATCGATATCTAATTAAATCTCTTTGTTTCAATTTTTACAATAAAGCAAATATGTTTACCAATACTCCCTCCGTTTCAAATTAGTTGTCGTTTTGGCAAAATGTATCTGCAATTATTTGGATGTATCTACAATGCAAAATATGTCCAAATACATCTAAATTTTTGCAGATACATTTTGCCAAAACGACAACTAATTTGAAACGGAGAGAATACAACTTAACTCTTTATGTTAATAAATTTATATTTACTATATAGTAAATGAATCCGAGTTAATATAATTATGGTAATAAATTTATAATTATATAGTAAATGAATCTCAGTTAATATATTTCTATTAATAAATTTATGTTAGTAAATTAGTCTCAGTCAATATATTATGTTAATACATTTGGAAATTTATCATTGAAAAAAAGCAAAGATCAAATGTTTATTTTGTTAATACATTTGGAAATTTATCATTGAAAAAAAGCAAAGATAAAATCTTATCATGCTCATAAGATTTAGTCATTAGCACAATTTGATTCCATAAATGTTTATTTTGGATAAGATTTAGTCATTAGCACTATTTGATTCCATAAATGTTTATTTTGGTAAGGATGCACGATTTAAAAGAGTGTATATACATGTAGCTTATGTCAACAATTCCTAAATCATATAATTTGGATGTTGTTCTAAATTTATTTCAGTTTTTAAAAATGGTATTCACATCTTAAAAATATTTTAAAATTATGTATAAAAGGATCACAAATTCTTGTTTGATTCACATAGTGGCTTTTCAAAATAATTTCACAATAATCTATATTACATAAACTTTGATCGAAAGATGACATCTTCAAAATTTCATTTTGTTGTTTTCCTTATCATTATATCTATCATCGTTAATGTTCAATCCGCTCGTAAGTTTTTCTTCTTTTAATACTCTAAAATTTATACATGCCTTTTGCATTATGATTTATATATTATAGTTATCATTATTTAATTAATAAATTTTTATAATGATAATATAGGAATTATGGATGCTTCAAGCGCTTGTGAATTCAAAGGACCATGTCAAAAAAAACAAGACTGTAACGAAAGATGTGGAGTGAACAAACCACCTTTTAAAATAGCTTTGTGCCAACCTTATGGAAGCAGTCTTGTATGTTGTTGTATCTAAGAATTTACAGTATTTCTAATCTAAAATAAAAATTTCCTAATACAATATATTTACACAACTAATTTTATATTTTCGTGGTTTAAGCTATATTAACTATCATCATGGTAACTAACAGAAAAAAACGCATGTAGATAAAATATTTACTTTGAATCTTTAGATACAGTGTTATGGAATGTGTATTTTATATTATCTCCAGTATCAAATTTTAAACACATAATATGACATACGTTTAGTTTACTTTTTGTAAATCTATGTTGACTAGATCTTAAATGAGCATCTCACATTTCACTGGTTTTACAAGCGGGTTTTTTTTTGTAAATTTTGAGCTTTAAATGTGATTCTTGTATTTTTATAAGATGCATTGGGTTATCATGGTATCGATTTTTTTTGTCAAGTTTCTGAGAATATCTTCGTCGGAAAATATTATACTTCGTTCTAAAATTGAATACTCAGAAACTCAAAGGAAAAGCTCAACGGAAAAATTTCCCATGATTGTAACAATGTCTTTTGGTTTGAATATATTTTTACATTCAATTACAAAAAAAAAAAAAAAAAAAAAAAAAAAAAAAAAAAAACAAACTCAGAAACAAATTAGACTAGATTAACAGTAACTTACGTACTTGATATTTCATATCCATTTGGGTGAAGGTGATACTGAGAAAATACTCTATATATCAGTCAACTTTAGTTTCTTACACATCCAAGTGAAATACAAGAAGAAGAAGACAAAGAAGAAGAAGAGCCACTAAATATTACTGTTCCATGGAACAGATCTGAGAGGTAGTTCTCCAAATTATCAGGCTTAAACCTCACCAGCATCTCTATGTTTGTCTCCTGTCTCAAATACTTGTCGTAAAACTCTCTGTATCCCGGCACAAGTTTCTTCGCTATAGAAACCTTAAGCTCGTCCCTCAGCTTCGCATCCGATATAACACACGATGATTGTTTCACATACACTTCTTCGAACGCCACATGAAATTTCTTGAAACGTGTTTTAGCCTCCTCTTGCGATATTCTTATGGTGGAATTGGTTCTCTCTGGTAAAGCTATGTAAACATAAGCCCACGCTGCGTTCTCGTAGTTTGCAACGTAGCTTCTTACTTTCGCTTCATGCTTGTTGAGCCAATCGTCTCCAAGGAGGCTCCTGAGATGAGTCGTGGAACGTACGGCATCAACCACAAACTGAGTGTTGTTGACGAGGAAGAGGTAAGAGAGTGAAACATCCTTGTAGCTCTCTGCTTTCATGTCTAGCTTGCAGAGTAAAACCAGTATAAGCCAAGCTAGATGGACAGAGATCTCGTGGTTGTTGATGTTTTCATCTTCCAAGATTGGAGCTGTGAAGTAAGATTCTAGCAAACGAGTGTCTACAGTGATGCTCTGAAGAGGATGCTCTACAAGAATCTCAGATAACACAGTGCCGTGTTGAGAAAGCAATGATATGAAACTCATTGTTGATCGAGTCAACTTGTGAATCCCTCCTCCATGAGTAAGTCCTTTCGAAGAATCCTTTTGTATTGTCTTCTCTAACTCCATGAGACATGTGTGGATTGAGATCTTGAGTTTCTTCATCGATGAGAGCGCCAGAGTTTTCACAGCAGCTACTGAATCAAAGTGGAAGATCTGTTCTGTTTCCGGCCAAAGGTCAGAGGTTGCTGTATACAGATCCATCAGCTTGAAGATCCTCTCAGGCTGTGTTTTATTCTCCTTGTTAGCAACGATCTCAGGTAACCTGAAGAGATTAAGTCCTGCTTCGTTGGCTATCTCGTAGAAGCAAGACTCTCTTATAGTAGAAGAAGCAGAGAAGACGTGATCACAGAGAAGTTTCTCTCCTCGGAAGAGTGTTGTGACTCCAATCTTTGCAGCTTTGATCCAGTTCTTGATCATTATCTCGACCACTCCCCAATCCATTCTGTTAAACCGAGAGATCTTGAACTTCTCGATCCCAAGCAAGTGTAAGCCTTCGTCTACAATAGACTTTCTGATCGACTTGTAACTTGTTATGCACTCTTTGCCATATCCACAGCTGATCATAGTCTCTGCTATGACCTTTAAGTCTGACATCACTAGAGCTGAGGCTTTCTCAACTTGATTGATCGATTCACCAGCCTTCTTCAGCTCATGACCATCATCGTCTTCATCATCAGAAGAAGATTGTATAACTTCTTCAAATTCTGAATTGCTTGAGATTGAGGAATGAGCAGAGACAGATTCAGGATCAAGCTGGTCTCTATTAGAAGAAAGAATCTGCAAGAACTCCTTCTCGAGCCTTGACATAGCGATCTGCATCAGGTTCTGTGCAAGAACAAGCTTAGAAGATTGAGAGTGTTGTTGTTGAGAGACGAGAGAGTGCATGGCTCTGCGTAAGTCACGGACGCATCTGATGAATTCTTTGGCCTCTTTTCTGCTGTGGCTGAAGAGAGAGGTGATCTTTGTGTAGGAGGGTGAGTTTGGATCCCATTTCTTGATGATTGATTCCGTGGCCTCCACGGTTTCTTCCATCATCGACTGAGAAAAAGTCTGGTTGAGAGGAGAAGCCGGGAGAGAAGTGAATGAAGGAAATGAAGATAGGAGTGATTTTGGAGAAGAGGAAGAGAATAGCAAGGACTTTGCCTTTTTCGCCATTGTGGAAAAAATTATGTTTAATGGAGTTAGCTTAGCTTCTATTCTCTATATTGTCTCTGAAAGTCCATTTAACATTATACAGAGAGGTGGTTTCTCAACATTTGAGTGACACCAATGACCAATACAAACATTTGACTGACTTTTTCTATTCGTGCCATTTTTTTTTTCAATATTCAATATAAGTAATGTTTCATGTAGTTTCCAACTGGTTTTTTAATCATAAGTAAATGGAATGATTCTCGAGGTAAAACCTAACTCATACGAGTAAATTTCACCAAAGACTTTAGTCTTTTTTCTTCTTGTTTGTTCTTGTTTCTTAATCATTCGATTCCTAAAACGTAGAATCTCATCAAGTCTTAGATAGAAGAATATATTTAGGTATAGTAGATTTGAGTCTTTTGACTTGGCAAAATTTTCGATATATTTTATAGGATATGATGTTTGATTGAATTACGGTTAATATCTCATTAAAGTATATGATTTGGTGTGACAAAGTCCACTCTAATTTTGAGGTTTATAACAAGGAGACTCTTCAAGATCTCACATTTATGTTATCAAGTTCACTATTGTTGAGTTCTACGTTTATATATTTTTCAATTAGTTAAGTAACGATCGTACCTTTTTGTAACTTCATGAGTTGATTATGTAAATTTATGGAACTAAAATACTCATATTGTTACTGTTCAAAAAAAAAAATACTCATATTGTTTTTGTTTGTGCTATGAATCCGTAGGATAAGGACGATTTGATGAGAGCCTAGTATGAACACGAAACTACACCTTGTATAATTCTACTCGAAAATATTGATGAAACATTGAAACTCAAGTTAATGATACATAATTATCAGTTTCAGAGAATTGTTTATGCAATCACGTATAAGACTAATAACATATTGTTTGACCAACAGACCAAAAGATACGCACGTACATATTGAGCTTAATAATGACAAGGTATGAAGAATTCATATAGAGACTCATACTACAGTATAAGATTATTTCTCCAAGTACTTCAAAACCGTCTAACCAAGTGCATGGGAAAAGATGGGCTTAGAAAATGTCGATGGACAGGTTTTGATAGTTTTCTTAGCGTTTTTGTTACGTAAACGTGTTTGTATAGTGAATGAAATCATCAATATTCATTTTTGTTTTCTAATAATTTTTTTTTTGGTAGGATAAGAAAATCTGAGAAATTTGACTTTGTATTTTCTTGTCTTATGTGCAAGAGTTGACTTTCACATAATCAGTTGAGTCCAATTGTTTTCACACACGTTACGTTCTCTATTAATTTGTGTTTGGTTGAAGTTTTTCTAGACTTATTCAGGTTAATGAATTCAAACCAAAACATGTAGACCCTCAAGTTTCAATAATAGAGAATAATAAAAGTAGAATGTAATACGATCATATAACAACAATGCACTTGTAAACCAAATCTTTCATTAAGATAACTTTTTAAATCTTGAACAGGGCAACAAAAAAGCAAAATCACGCAAAAAGCAAACTCGCCTTAGTCCCCTCAATTGAAGATGATCATGCGGATGGTGCTAGGATGGTGCAAACATGGATGATGATGCGGATGGTGCAAATTTGGATGATAATGCCAATGTGGCGAATCTGGATGATAATGCGGATGTGGCAAATTTAGCTAATGATGAAGTACTCATAACAAATTATGGGGAATGTCGATGTTGATCCATATTACAATCCCAGATCATATACAAATTCTGAGGAATGTTGATAGTGAACGATCCAAACTATGATCCTTCGCAGGTTAATACACCATAAGTAGTTTATCAACCGTACTTTTCATCGACCAATAATCATATTATTTTTTTTGGGTAAACACCAATGATCATATTATTTGGAACAATGAGATGTCAAGATATTTTAGTGTTTTTATTTGTATTATGAAACAATATTGATGAAACAGTAATATAATATAATTATCTGACACAATATTGGTGAAACCCAAGATGAGCAATATGGATATAATATATTTATCACTTTCAGATAATTTTTATGTTATTAGTTATCACGTATACTCCATTAAAATATTGTTTGACCAACAGACCAAAGAAAAATTCATATGCAGACTCGTAATATATGACTGTTTCTCCAAATACTTCAAAACTGTCTGACGAAGGGTGGTTTGGCTAGTTTCCATAGCGTCTTTGTTTCATAATCTTGTTTGTCTGTCTAGTAAAATCATCAAATCTTGAACAAAATACTCATAATCTTGACTTTGGGCTACGGTTTTGATAGTTTTCTTAGTGTTTTACTTAAATAATCGTGTTAGTCTGTCGAGTGAAATCATCAAATCTTGAACAAAATACTCATAATCTTGACTTTGTAATTTCTAGTCTTATAGGCAAGAGTGATCGAGAATATAAAAGATGATTTGAAACGATCATAAAACAATACTCTGAATTTGCGAACAAAATCTTTCAATAAGACAAATTTCAAAATCTCTAACAGTGAAACGAAAACGCAAACTCATGCAAGAGCTGAAATTCAAAACACAAGTATCGATGTTGATTACAAGATAAGCTTAAACCTTGATAGCATACTTTCTCAATGGAAAGTACATTTCTTTCTTCTTCTCCCTTTCTGTCTTGAGCGATGCCTGTTTCAATCACCCACCCAAATATTCAGTCAGTAATATAACCAACAACATTCGTTCATTTCTCAATATCAGTTTGATTCTACAAAACACAATACTGGAGAAGACAAATGCGAGAGTAGATTGGATTTACCTGATGCTTGGTGAGTCTCCTCCTGATGGCTCTAGTCTTCTTGGGACGAAGATCCAGAGGCAAAAACTTCTTGTTCTTGTATGCCTCCCTCAGAGCAGACTTTTGCTTCTGTGAGACAACTGTCAACACCTGAGCGATCGACTTCCTCACCACCTTGCTGAGAATCAACAAATAACACAGCCAGTTTCAGATCAATGCGGATTAAAAAACTAAGCAAATCAAGCTTCTTTCTTTGCGAATCCAATCCAATTAGACTTAAAAGTAGCTTTATTTATCTATTGAGGAAATTTGAATACGGCTAATGCGTACCACAAATTACCAAAATTCGACAGCATAACATAAGTAAAATCATTTATTAAGCCTAATCTTGCTGAACAAAACATGATACTTAAAACCATAATGTTATATTCAAATGACGAATCTTTCGAGAGACTAACAATGGAGACTGATTGGCAAAAATGCTTAATCACTACCACTAGCTCAATCATTAACAAGGCTATAGAGTATCGATTGCGAATTCATCAAGCTTTGACATATAAAAATCATTCTAAATCGGAAAAAATGCAATCCATATAAAAGAAAATCAATCGCAGTGTGTATATACTAAGAGATGTGGGAGCACATACATCTTGGAGAGCTTATTGGGAGCACCTCCGGTGACCTTAGCGACGCGAAGAAGAGCAAGCTCCGCCTTCAGATCATTCAACTGAGTCGATAGATCCGCTTTTGATTTCTCCCTCAGCTCATGAACCTTGATTCTCGCTGTTCAGATTCCATTTCACAATACACAGAACACAATCAATCACGAGCCCATCGGAAAAGAAACAGGAATGATAAATCGAAATGACACAGTAGAAAGTTTCAGAATTTCAATCTTACCCATTGCGTCGTCGAGTTCTTTAGCTTTCTCAGACTCTCTTGTGTGTTATAAAAGATCAGAAACCCTAGAAAGATGAAGACGACGACGGCTATGACTTAAATCGGGGGACTTTAGGTTATTTGATGTTTACTTGGGCTTTTAATGTGGGCATTATTATTGGGCCGAGGCTCACAAAAGCCCAAGCAAATATGTTTGGTTAATAAGTAAAATAACTACAGTATATGAAATACCAATTTCTTTTGAAAAACATACTTCCTTCTTCACAATGTTAACTATCTTGGAATCAAGAAGTTTCGAGCATAGTCTCTTTTTGTGCTCATAGCTAGCCACTGATAATACTTTGTTTAAAACGTAAATCACTTTACCAAAATAAGATTGAATTAACGACTTTGAATACTTCTAGAGCCACTGAACTACCAACTATTTGGTATTCTTCAAATTATTACGTTCGTTAACTAGGTAATTGTCGACCGAATTTTGTTATATCTACAACTCTACTTATGTGGTATTTTCAACTCTAATAGATAAACATGATTATTACGTTCGTTAACTAGTTAAACGTCAACTGATTTTTGTTATCTCTACTACTCTCTATGTGTGGTATTTCAACTCGAATTAAGAAAAATGATTAAACCATTGGTTAACTGAACATAAAAGACTAAAAGTAAATCATCAATGTATTCTTTAAATTAAAGTCTTTATCTAGAATGGATTAAGACTTGTGCAATGATCTTTCTTATTTCTTGTGTTTTGTTTTTCAATAAGAGATTAGAGGGACTAAGAAAATTATACTGTAGGAAATAATACACTTTTCACTGAAAGGTAAAACCAATGTGATACAATATATTCATCGTAAATTCGTAATTAGTAATGTGATAGAGAAGTGTAATTATGAGTCGGGTGATGACAATTACCTCTAATAAATAAGATGAATTATACATTTACAAGTTGACACAAAGACATAAATACATGTTTATCCATCCCTTAACTAAAGATTTATACATTTACAAGTTGACACAAAGACATAAATACATGTTTATCCATCCCTTGATTAATGATTTATAAAGACAAGTCAAATGATGGCATGGCACTAAACAATGAATGCATGACTCAATCGGAGTAGTATTTGCCATTTGGTCAATAAAAAAGCTATACCGGTCAAGCACCAACGGCTGAAGCATTGATTACAAAATGAAAAGAAAAAAAATTGGACTCGTTCAACGTCATCTAAAACGAAAATATCCCACAAAGACTTAACCGTTTCAACTCTATAAATAAACTAATACGCAGCGTTTAAAGCTGCTTCCCCTGTTTTCAGGGCTCACTTGATTCCCCTGACTCTTCTATCTCAGCTACTATAAATTGGACAGCACTCACTCTCTTCGTATTCAGCATAAACCGTTCTAAAAAGAACCAAAAAAGTATCTTTCTATTTGTATAGAAACAGAGCATCATGCTTATGTATGAAGAGGTTAGTGACTGTACATATGTTTTCAGCTCATGTAGACAATCATATAAGTAGAGAACTATTATTAAAAGGTTTAGTTTTATTTGTATTTTTCAGGAATTTGTGTCGAACTCACGAGGCATGAAGTTGTTCACTTGTGTATGGAAACCAGTTAAGCAAGAACCAAAGGCCTTGATCTTCTTGTGCCATGGCTATGCTATGGAGTCCAGCATCACCATGAACAGTTTCGTCTCTTATCCTTTTCTACTATGGACTTTTTCTCTTGTTTAATATAACTTATCAGATTTTTAGATATATTTACAAATGATATAATGGGATTATAATCAGGCACAGCGACGAGGCTGGCCAAGGCCGGTTTTGTGGTCTATGGAATGGACTATGAAGGACACGGAAAATCAGAGGGATTAAGTGGTTACATCAGTAACTTTGGTGATCTTGTTGATGATGTCTCTATTCATTACTCTACAATTTGTGGTAATCTTCTTTTGAAAACCTTAGTTATATGCTTAAAATTTTTCATTATTTTACTAAATTAAAAAATGATTGGTTAAAATTGAAGAGAAAGAAGAGAATAAAGAAAATATGAGGTTTCTACTTGGAGAATCCATGGGAGGAGCAGTTGTGTTGCTACTAGCTAGAAAGAAGCCTGGTTTTTGGGACGGTGCCGTTTTTTAGTTGCTCCCATGTCTAAGGTTTGTGATTCTCTCTTTTCTTTCATTTCTCTAGTGTTTTTACTTTTTACGTTAGTTAGGGATTTTGTTTCTTAGTTTTATCATTAGTCTAGAACTGTGTGATTAATTTTGGTGTTTTAAAAAGATACGAAAATAACCATTTTCTAGTTATAATATGTCATTTGTCATGTTTTAAAGATTAGGTCCAAAACTGATAATGATTCCAATAGAATCATACAAAAACTAGTGAGATCACCCTACCTTATCTTCTTACCTACTAGTTTCTACTTTCTAGTCCATGCTCACCACTACTTGCTAGTTGCTACAAGCCTAAAAAAATTCAATTTAAATACTTTTAAAGGTTGAGTGATTAGCCTTAACTACAAATTTGATAATGATATATACTTGTGGACCTCTTTCATGACAAAATATCTTCCTTTGCATATGTTTTGGGGATTAATCTGAATTTCAGTCGGATATATATCTCTCGGTTATCAAAAATTTGCAATTTGTATTCACACAATGAATACCATACGATCTTAAAATCTCAAAGTCCACATAATGTTTTTTTTCATATGATACATTGATGTTGTTTTGTATAGTTAGCAGAAGAGGTCAAGCCACATCCAGTTGTTACCTCAATTCTCACCAAGCTTACCTGGTTTATTCCAACATGGAAAATAGTTCCAGGAAACGATATTATTGATATTGCAATTAAAGAGCCACACATCAGAACTCAGGTGATTGATGATCGTCTAAATTTTGCGTATGTTATAAATTTTTTGTTATTAATTATTTATAAGTAATATTACAGGTTAGGGAGAACAAGTATTGCTACAAAGGACGACCTCGCCTCAATACCGCCTACGAACTCCTGATGGTTAGCTTGGATCTCGAGAAGAATCTTCAACAGGTTTCTCATTAGTTACATATTTTCTTATAATGAAGAAAAACATTTTACACAACTTTTAATTAACTTAGTATGGCTCTTGAGCAGGTATCGATTCCCTTTATCGTCCTTCATGGAGAAGATGATAAAGTGACCGACAAAAGCATAAGCAAAATGCTATACGAGTTGGCTTCAAGCTCGGACAAAACATTCAAGTTGTATCCTAACATGTGGCATGCTTTGTTGTATGGAGAAACTCCTGAAAATGTTGAAATTGTCTTTGGTGATATCTTAATCTGGTTGGAGAATAGAGCTTTCGATGCCAACGGAAGGTTAGAGAGTGAGCTAAAACATAGGCATGATGGATATTTGAAGCCAAAATAAGTAAATCATATAGTTTGGTTTATGTACTATTATTGTAGTCATATGTATGTTACATACTGTACGAAGCTACTTGCCAGATATAAAAAGTGGTCTATATCTTATAGCATAAAATTACATAAACTCTTTTAATAAACGTCCAAAAGCACACACATTTGTAGATAACACATATTTTAGATGTTTTTTATTTTCAACTAAGCAATTTCATTGACTTTTGGGCTAAAATTATTAAATATATATACAGTCAACACAAGTTTAGAAAAAATAACACTAAAAAACTAAATTTGACATCACCGGGTCAAAAGAAAGAAAAAAATGTGACACCACCTATATTTCTAGTATTACGTGTATTGACTTCTGACATAAATGTTTTAATATCAGAAACATTTCTATAACGTCATGACTGACTCATGGGTCATGGCTATTCGAAGAAATGTAATTTCAGTATACATATATTTAAAAGAACCACTAGCAATTAACAATTTGGGCAGCAAGATCAAACTGGAGCATTAAGAAGTAGAATATGCTGCGAATTCTTGTAGCTTTAATAAATTCTTAATTGATTCATGTAGTTTATCCATATGCACTTACGCAATATGGGTTAAGTGCATTAACGACTTTTCGTCAAATGGATGATAATTATCCAATAAGTATCTTTTTAGAAAAATTTCTTTTTACATAAAATATCATTTTATCATTTCTAACACAATTTCTTAAACAAAATTTCAGTTTTATTCTTACTTTTAAGCATATCAACAAAGGAAAGTTTTTACAGTGAATTAATTAAAAAATGGTAAGAAGTACAATATAAAGATGAAATTGTAGGACTTATTGTTTGACATCGTATGTAGAACGGAAAAAGTATTACTTGACATCGTATACTTGAAAAATTATATGTTTTTTTTTTTGCCCAAAATAGGTGGGTTTCCACTTTCCAACCTGGAATATATACGGAGCCAAGTAACGTGGTCAAACTCAAACTACTTGTCTAGAGTGGCCTGCAAGAGGTTTTTTGACAATTTCATGTTCTTTTACTCTATGTTTGATTCCAATATTCTAATTCGTTTTTCATATATATGGTTTATCTGTTTCTAACATGTTCGATCCATCTTAAACTCATTGTCTGAATTTCGACATACACATTTATTCTTTACAAAATATGATCATCAGACTGGTTAAAAACTATAGCCACACTGATACACAATAATCAACTGAGGATTAAAAGAAACACATTACTAGAGAAACATTAATTATGAGTTTATGACGATTGACGAGACCTTTCTGAAAATCATGGTCTAGAGATATCTCAAGTCTCTTGGTAATTACTTGTGCAAATCATGGTCTAAGATATCAAATGTCTCGTCCTAACTTTTAAGCTAACCCAAAAAGACTAAAAATGATTTCACCAGCTTTTCCTAATTGCTCTTTTCCAACACTAAATTATTAAACGTCAGGGTGGTCTTCCAAATCTTTTTGTAAGAGGAATTATTTAAGAATTTACGAAAGCTGGGGGTATATTTACTATTTTGAAAGTTAAAGGGGTGAAAGGAAATAAAAAAGGAAAGGGTTCGTTAAGTTGTCAGCGTCAGACAACGAAGAAGACTATATATAAAGAGCTCTTCAATTCATCCATTTCTCAACTATATACTCCAAGAAAAACAGAGAGAAGAGAGACACAAATTCATCACTTTTTCACGTTATGGTCAGTTAATTTAACAATCTCTTGTTTCTTATCTCTTTGGTTAGTTTATATGAATTATGAAAGTTTGTTCTTTCTTTTTCTCTAATTGCAATCCTTTGGTTTTGGTGTGCAGGCGAGTGAAACAGATTGTATCAAGTACGAAGAGGTATGTATATACATATCAAAATATGTATCAAGATCACTAAACAAATAGAGAAATCTGATGATTATATATTTTACATAATATGCAGTGTTTCATAAAGAACACTCGAGGATTAAAGTTGTTCACGTGCAAATGGCTACCAACAAACCAAGAGCCAAGGGCCTTAATTTTCCTTTGCCATGGATACGGCATGGAATGCAGCATCAGCATGAACAGTTAAGATCAACCCACTTTATAATTTTATATGAATATTTTTCATCAAATATCAAAGCTTTTACCAACTACGAGAGAGGACTAAATATACCCTACTTTGGACTCTTGTCCAAATAAACTATTGGTCTAGATTTTAAAACTTCTTACTTCTTTAGTTACCACAAAATACAGAATTATTAACGTTTGAGATGAATATGATGGGATTAGGTACTGCGAGGAGGCTCGTGAAGGCAGGATTTGGGGTTTATGGAATGGATTATGAAGGACATGGAAAATCTGATGGGCTTAGAGCTTATATCCAAAAATTTGACAACCTCGTTGATGATGTCTCTGCTCACTTCACATCCATTTGCGGTAATGTTGACTTCTGGATAGTAAAAGTCATCTTACTTTATTTTTATTTTTGTGCAAACACGAAAGTAATATTTTTTTTTGTGTAAAGACATTAAAGTCATCTTACTAGTTCATACTTTTGTTTGACCAAAAATGTTGTTATGCAAAAAGATTATAAATGGAGAATCAGTATTACTTTTCTTGGTCGAACGTGCGATGATATATGAATTGCTTGCAAAGTTTTTCTTTATTTATTTACTTGACGTTTTCAAATAAATTTAAAAACTAATTTGGTATATAATTTTGTTTTGAATAGAGAGGGAAGAGAACAAAGGGAAGAAGAGGTTTCTGTTAGGAGAGTCAATGGGAGGAGCAGTAGTTTTGTTGCTAGGCAGGAAGCAACCTGAGTTTTGGGATGGAGCTCTCTTGGTCGCTCCAATGTGTAAGGTATTTTTCAGTATTTCACTTTTTTTTTTTTCTTTTTTTTTAGCTGTCTAATTTTATTGTTAAGCACTTTCTTATATCAAATTGGAATTTCTGGTTCAAAAATATTTAACATAACATATAATCTAATGCATGTAGAAATAAACAAAGAGGTTATATATGAATTGGGAATTATTTTTCCTGCAAAAATGAATATAATGGCGAATTTGAGTTCGATTAGTTAGAACCAGAGTTAATTTGTGGATGTTGTTGAATTGTTGTTATAAACTTTTCTTCTTGAGGGTGTATTTGTATACCCATTAGTTTAGTTTGATTTGATCTTGTGGTTGATTAAAACAACGACTGCCAAACTACCTTCGGATACGAAATCTTAAGTGGTTAAGATGTAACAAAACAATCAAATGGAAAACTAGCTCTTATTAGTTGTCACATGCTAAGATGATAATTGTAGAGTAAATTATAGCATGCCAAAACACTTAATTAGGTCCTAATGATAAGCAGGACCTTTATTCTAATACTATAGAGAAACGTGTATTGTTTTTTAAAATGGAGGGTTTGGACTTCATTGTAGCTGGCTTACAATTATGAGAGACCATATTAGTTGATTTGAAACTCAGTCAAATGTTCTAAACCAATAATCTTTATAGAAAAATGTTCTAAACCAATAATCATCACACTGTTTCCATTAAAGTGTGCTAAATAAACGAATACGATATCAAGCCAAGTTACTTGATTTCACTATTATAGTTTATCTTTCATTGAAAGTCATGTATATATTATCTAGGCCTTTAATCAGTTACGCAACTAAAGGAAATGGGTATATTTTGTTATACAACCGGAACTTGTAGATGGATATAAATTAAATGCATACAAACGAAACATTTGTTTTGTGTCAGTAAGGAAATGTATGAACGTGTATATGTGTCACAGATCGCAGAAGAAATGAAGCCAAGTCCTTTTGTTATTTCGATATTAAAGATGCTGGTTTCGGTTATACCCAAATGGAAAATCATTCCTACTAAAGATATCATCGCGATTTCATGTAAAGACCCAGAAATAAGAAAAGAGGTATGTTTCTATATAACATAGTAACCAAGATAATCAGTAGTATATAAATATGTGTAAGAAACTAATCAATATGCTTAATTTAACTTTTGTACTATATGGTATGAGTTCAGATTCGAAAAAATACCTTATGTTACAGAGGACGACCACGCTTGGAAACTGCGTTTGAGCTCTTAAAGGTCAGCAACGATTTGGAGAAGAGACTTAAAGAGGTATATATAAATTATACATTCAAGATTCTCATGATGCATGATATTCAGATTGGAATCAAAGACTAGCATATTAGTGGTTTAAATTGTTATATGAATAATTTTTAGCATCAATAATGGTTATATTTAACTTACAACTAATGCATATAATGATTATTATAGGTTTCAATCCCGTTTATGGTATTACACGGAGGTGATGACAAAGTAACAGACAAAGCAGTGAGCCAAGAACTGTACAAGGTTGCCTTGAGCTCTGACAAGACCTTAAAGTTGTACTCTGGGATGTGGCATGGTTTGCTTAATGGCGAGCCACAAGAGAACATCGAGATTGTCTTTGCTGACGTCATTGGGTGGTTAGAAAAAAGAACAGAGTTTGGAAATGATAAGCTTGAGTCGGAGCTTAAACATAGTAATGATGGTTTTCACTTCAAGGGATAATCGGAACTTACTCTTGTGAATTGTAAATTATTTTAGTGGCAATCGATATTTCACTACTCCTGTGGTATATATGTAAATGGAATTTGTTTATTTACTGAAACATTGTTTAATTTTAAAAACTTGTGTATTTTATAGTTAACGCATGTTCTACTAAAAAAGTAGGCATGCTTAACGTACGGTTTGAGAGTCAATGGAAAACCGACCAGAGCTTTGAGATATTTTAGTATATTTCGTAGTCATCGCTTAAATCTCGAGAAACACGTACACTATGCTAACTAAAAATTTAAAATAATCCAAAGTTCCAAACAACTCAATCGTCGAAGGCTCGAAGCTACTGTATATTTGTTTATTGCCATGATATGTGATATAGATATGCTGAATCCACTACAAGAAAAGCGGAGTTTAACGTCAATGTCACTATGTAAAGTGACTTTAATCCATTTTTTGAAACGGAATTTAACATCGGTTTAAAAACCGACTTTATCTTTCTCGACACTTATTTTGAATCCATCAGTTTTATCTTGATTACATTTTGAGTCCATTTTTTAAAAAGGCCCATTAACACTTGGTGTTTTACGTTACCAAAAGAAAAATACAATTCTCTCTCTCTCAAGTGTCGATCAGAAATTCGAAATCGATTTCGAATTCAATTCCAAAACCATAATCTATTTCCTTTGAGATATCAAAATCAACGGATCTATCTGATTGATCGGAGCTCGTCTTAGCTGGGTAATTAGCTCAGGGAAGGTCGGAGGACGAAGCTGAACGATTTAGCTGAGGGAAGGTTTGTTTCGTAGAATCTATTTCTCTTCACATTTTGGGATCGCAAAGTTCAAAGTTCGTAGATCTGGGATCCGACTAGCTCTATGTTAATTTCCGATCACTATGAAATTATCATCTAAGTTAATCTGGGATCCGACTAGCTCTGTGTTAATTTCTGATCACTAGCTCTTCATCATCGGATTTTTCCGAGCATAATGAATTTAGCCAGTTTTTCCGAGTAATTTGATTGTATTTAGCCAGTTTTTTCTGATTAGAGCCAGTTTAGCCTTTAGAAAAACTTAATCTCCATATTAAGATGCATATTTGTAATTTTGATATATTTGTGATCATAGCTAGTTTTCTGCGTTTTTATTTATCAAGCAAATTGATTCTAATAGTTTGTTTTATTTGACATCAAGGTTTCTGCAATTCTGTGCTTGTGGGAAGTGAATTGCTCGTCGCTAGTTCACATCTTTCACATCATTTTCTTCTACAAGGTTGGTTTTATATCTTCTCTTTACTTTTTTTGAATACCGATGAAAGTGAAATTTGCTTGGTTCTGTGTGTGAATACTGAAGAAAGTTTTCTTGCTTGGTTCTGTGTGTGATACTGAAGAAAGTTTGCTTGCTTGGGTTCTGTGAATGTTTGCTTGCTTGGGTCTATGAAAATTGATAGTGATTTTTTACTTGTTCTGCAAATATTGAGCTTTGTTCTGTGAGTAAATTTGAACAACTATTAGAGCTGCTTATTTGATCACTATCGTAGATATATGTTATTGATGATAACTTATTTGCTTTATTGGTAGATTGGTTTTAAAATGGACAAATCTTGGTTAACAAAACATCGTCTCTCTGAAGATTATATGGTTGACATCAAATGTTTCTTGGATTTTGCCTTTGATTATAGTAAGACGGATACTATAAAGTGTCCTTGTCAGCGTTGGATATCCAAAATAATATAAGTATTCTGGCGTACAAAGCATTGAATTATAAAGATCAAAACTTAATTACCAGCACTATTTCATCAGGAATATCGAAAGGAAATGCTCAGATGCAGTTTATGTGCGATGCAAAGTATCTCTCCGATGCAATAACAGGTGTTTGTAATCAGACTAATTTGGGTGTGACTGTTTGCAACACTCTTTGCGTTGCTTTAAACTATCATCGCGGCCAATGTGATCCCACGAGCATAGAGAATGACATAAGAGTTTGCCAATGCTATATTTGCAAATGATTAACCCACGACTTGAGTGCAACCCGAAAACATATAATATTTGAACGACTGGAGATATAACGATCATCTGTATTTGCACTTGTGTTTGTCATTTTGTTTGTTTTTTTGTTTGTTTTTAATGTTTTGCTGTTTGTGAATGTGATTTTGAATAAATGATCGACGCTACCTAAGTAAGGATAACTTATATATACACGTCATGTCCACCTCTCTACTTAAGTAATTATAAATAAATGACCTTTTTTTCTTTTTTCGTCCAGACCTTTTTTTACGTGTCATCCAGAGTAACACCCACTAATTACTTCTAACTTTTTAGCTATTACAGTTGCACTTTCCACATTAAAATTTCGTAACTAAAAAAATCATGCATAGACCGAAATGTGGATAAGAAGAAGCATAGACCTAAAATACTCAAAATCTCCTTAACGAAGCCGTTACATGATTACATCCGTTGAAGCTCTTCATACTTTTGTTCTGAGGTCATTTCCTGCGACCACCACTCTGATGTACGTCAAAATTCAATATTCAAAATACTTGATTCTACAACGCAGAATGTCAGTCAAAATTATATAGCGGGTAAGTTCTTGAACTGAAACATTGTTTGAAAAAGCATGAGTATTTTATAGTTAACACATGTTCTACTATAACGTAGGCATATTTAAATGAGAAGCCGGCAAGAATTTAGGGAAATTTTAATTGATTTCATAGTCGTCGCTTCTTAGCAGCAAGGAGAAAAAAAATACCCTTGTTTTTTGTTAATTGAAGAGGCGTTAACGTTAAATCGATTAATATACAAATTCACTACTTAAACAAACATAAGCGAAGAACACAAAGGAATTTTGTAATGATTTATAAGTTTAACATTAACAGCTGTAATTAATAGTCAACTTATAAATGTGTTTACAGCTATTAATGTTAACAGTTCTATGAAATAGTCAACTAGATTTTCAGTATAAATATCACCCAATTTTTTCAAACGAAACTTGTGTAAATTAAGATAGAAAGAAAGTAGCACTACAAAGCGGAAAGAAACACTGAAACAAAAAAGAGGGGAAAAAACAGCAAAAATGGTGAAGAGCGTGAATATTGTCGGCTCTTCCATTCTCTTGATGATTTTTTTGTTGATCTCTACAGGTAATATAAATTAAACTATATGAATCTTACCAGGTTATTCATGAATTCTCTAAAAATGGGATTCAACCTCATTTATCTAGGCACAATTCTTAGAACTAAGTTGAGCATTTTTTATCCAAACAAATAAGGTTGTGGATATAGATTCTTTACTTACCATCTTTGTTTCATTAGGGATACCGAAAGGAAATGCTCAATCTGAATGTGTGATCCAAAGCCAAGCGCCGTTGCATTACCAGTTGTATGTAATCTGATTGACGCTGTGAAGGAGTGCAACCTTGCTTGCGCTCTTGTAGGCTATAATCGCGGCAAATGTGATCCTGATAACGAAGTTTGCAATTGCTATCCTTGCCAACAATAAGCCATGATTAAATAATATGATTCGATCCACTGAGTATTTCGATCATCTGTAACTTGCATTTGTGTTTGCATTTGCTTTTATTTTACTTATGTTATGAATGTGATCAAAATAAATGATCGAAGCGACCGTTGGTTTGAGACTTTGAGTTACGCGTTGCTAAAAATGGGATATTGTGTTAGAACCAGATTGGTGGATATTGTTACTTTTCATATATAAAGCTATTGGATAACCAATATAAATGATATTTTACTTTAATCGTGTTTTCGAACATACACTATTCTACAAGAAAGAAACAATCAAATGGAAACTCGACTGCAAAGCCAAGTTATTAAACATAAGCATTAGGACCATTATTTAAATATACTAAGAAGAAACAAATTTTGATTTTTAAAATTTAATCACGTATTTCGAATTCATTGTAGGCTTGTAGCTGGCTTACAATAGTGAGAGACCATGTTAGTTGATTTGAAACTCAGTATCCAATAAAGTATGTGACATGATCATACGATCTCAAAGAGTGTAGATACTTATATAATAGATGATAAACTCAGTATCCAATAAATTATTTCATTCATTTGATCTTAATTTCTGAAATAGTTCTTCAAAGAGTGTACATACTTATATAATAGATGATATAACTAATAAATCAATACAAATACTTTTTCTTTTCACTCATACTTTTTTGTATGATTCTTATTAGAATACAGTATCAAATCTGTTTGCCTAGTGGCAAATAAAAAACTAAGCATTTGACTTTCACAATAAAAGCAACAGTATTTTAATATACACGCTCTGCTCAAAATCGACATGTATTTTGACAGACAACGAATCGAAAAACCGGCCAGAATTTTGGAATATTTTTATTTTACAGTCGTCGCTTGAATCTGGATCAACAATTTCTACATAACCCAAACGACTCATTCCTCAAAGTCTGCTGCAGATTCGTTTATTACCACTGATTTGCACACGTGGCTTTGCTGAATCCCAAAAAAAAAAAAAAATACTACTATCGACGTAACTTTCAAGAACTGGATTAAAAAGTGTTCTAAACTTCCAGTTATAAAACTAATTAATACAGTATGTGTGAAAGTGTATAGAGTTTGTAAAACAGTTAATGAAAAGTTAGTCAACGGAGTATAACTTAATCATCTAAGTTTAGAGTTAACATTTACATATTGTAAGAACTCAAGATTTGACTTCTCAGAACACATTTTTAGTCTCCGTAATCTACGTTTTGTAGTGTAGATCTTCTATTTAATGTAATACGACATATGTCAAGTGTAAAAGCTAACAAATGTAACCTGTCAAAAGATTTTTTTTTTTTTTTTTTTCCTTTTGGTTGGTGTGTTTTTTCTTTGAAGATTGAAAATATATTGCAAAACCCTTATTTTAAAAATAGAATTTATGTATATATATTGAAAAGATACTTGAACACAACCTTAATACTAGATTTATGTTGCTAAAGCATTCAAAAGCTGAATGGTTTTTTTTTTTTTTGATAAAGTAAAAAAAGCTGAATGGTTTTATACATAAACAGCACAAAACTCTTTAACCAAATTTTATCATTTTCCAACCTAAAAACTGAAAACAAATTGAGGCATGGGGGTTTCTGAATAACTTCAGAACTTTTTCATGAAATTCAGAAATTCAGAAATTAGTTTTGTTATTTTTAAAAGTTGAGGGGACGTGTTTTGAATGTAGCCAAAATTGAAAAGTCGCCACTTGTAAGGGAATAATTTTTTTTTTCATTTTAAGAAATTAAAAAAACGTGTTGGGGTGAGAAGAGAGGAAAGGAATCCGTTAGTTCGTCTCTATCAATCATAACCCAAAAACGACGACGCATTGTTGCACCGTCCTCTTCTTCCTCATAATCTTCCCCATAAAAACAGAGTCGTGTACACAAATTATACATCCTCTTATCGAAAACTCCTTAGTCTACAACAAAGCTATAAACAGAGAGAAAGAGAGAGATTTTGATAAACCTCTTCTTAATTATGGTCAGTTGCTTCACGTCTTAATTCTCTCTGGTCTATGTCTCTTTCAGTCGCATCTAAAAAGTGTTTGGTTTTGTTCTTCTTTTAACGAATTATGTTGTTTGGTATGCAGGCAAGTGAAACAGAGGACATTAAGTATGAAGAGGTATGTTACTCTGTATTATATGAATTTATCAAGATTTAAGATCATGACACAAAATCTAGAAATCTGTGTTTTGATTGATGATGATTATGAATGCAGAGTTTCATTAAGAACACTCGAGGAATGAAGCTCTTCACGTGCAAATGGGTACCAGCAAATCAAGAGCCGAAGGCTTTGATCTTCATTTGCCATGGATATGCAATGGAGTGCAGCATCACCATGAACAGTTGAGATCATCCCATTTTATTTGAATAGTTATATGTGTTTATTCCTTAAAGATCGAAACTTTACTAACGTTTAAGATGAATTGTGATTGGAATAGGTACTGCGAGGAGGCTTGTGAAGGCAGGATATGGGGTATATGGGATTGATTACGAGGGGCATGGCAAATCTGATGGGCTTAGTGCTTATGTTCCAAATTTCGACCATCTCGTTGATGATGTCTCTGCTCACTACACATCCATTTGCGGTAATAAAATTGACTTTTTAGAGGGATAATACTGACTTATATTTTGAAAATGGTGGCAAAACCATTGACACTTTCATTTACCATTAACAAGCTTTAATGTGAAAAAAAGATAATGATTTCTTCGATCAGTAGATATTTATGAATGAAGAATAATATTCTTGAATTGATGTTTTTGGGATGAGAGTAATTCCGACATACTTTTTTGTCAGACCTACGAAACAATGATTTTGATGTTTTTGTTTGATTGCTTGTGGTTGGAATAATTAGAGAGAGAAGAGAATAAAGAGAAGATGAGGTTTCTGCTTGGGGAATCAATGGGAGGAGCTGTGCTTTTACTAGTACATAGAAAGAAGCCTGAGTTTTGGGATGGGGCCGTCTTGGTTGCTCCAATGTGTAAGGTGTGTTATATTCATCCTCATCTATTTTATTTCCCTAATCGTACCTTCTTTGTATGCTATAATGCAAATATGTTTTCCTTAGGACAAATTTAGATTTTTTACTTTATAAAAGAAGTAGAAATGGATGCACGTATATATTTTTTCATGTACAAAGAATTATGTTGATTTTTTACTTTACAAAACAAGGATGCACGTATATATATTTTCATTTTCTATGTTGCATAAAAAAACGCCAGCCTGGTTTATATTTTCAAGATAGTATGTTGACATGTAAAGAAATACTATTGTTTTGGTGCATGGTGTATTCTTTTGCCCACTACCAAATGCCAAAATCTTGTTTGTCAGTTGGTAAATGGGGCAGATGCTGAATTATTAGTAGATCAAAAGGGTAGATCATTCTTGAGGGAATATTATATTTTTTTATATATTATCTTTAAGTTCAATGAATTATAAATACGACAATTGTGTGCAGTACGTATAACCTTTCAAAGCATGCTTACAATAATGCGGACAAAATCGTATAGAAGATTAGTCAAATATCTAGGTTAATGATTAAAGCGCACCCACTAAGTTGGTGAACTAATCATACTTTAGACAATAATACGATCCAAATCATTGAAGATGCGTGGTACATAGCATTATTAACACTTTTTTTTTTTTTTTTTCACACAGATCGCTGAAGAAATGAAACCAAGTCCTTTGGTTATTTCGATACTGTCCAAACTCAGCGGAGTGATACCCTCGTGGAGAATTATCCCTGGCCAAGATATTATTGAGACTGCTTTTAAGCAGCCAGAAATCAGGAAACAGGTAATCTTACCTTTTAAGCACATTGCACATACTGTAGTAAATAACATATTAATGTTAAAAGACTTAAGGTGTTACTAAAAATGTTTATATTTTGAAATAATTAAAGGTTAGAGAAAACCCTTACTGCTATAAAGGACGCCCACGTTTGAAGACTGCTTATGAGCTTTTGAGGGTTAGCACCGATCTCGAGAAGAGACTTAATGAGGTATTTATTTATCGTTAATTAAGAAATGATAATAATTTAGACGAATAAAGAAAATACTGGTTTTGAGTAATGTGATGCAATGTTAAAATAGGTTTCATTACCGTTCATCGTTTTGCACGGAGAAGACGATAAAGTGACGGACAAAGCGGTGAGTGCAGAACTGTACAAGGTTGCGTCGAGTTCGGACAAGACTTTTAAGCTGTATCCTGGAATGTGGCACGGCTTGCTCTATGGCGAGACACCAGAGAACATCGACATTGTTTTTGCTGACATCATTGGTTGGTTGGATAAGAGAGCTTCTGCTGGGAATGGAGGGTTTGAGTGCGAGCTCAAACGTAAAAATGATCCTTTGAAAGGATAGTTAGTGTGGTTATTTATCAATATCACAAACTAAACTGCGCAAGCACATTCAAATTCTGTTTTTTTTTTCTCTCATATTTTGAATGCTTTTCTTGTAATAAAATGTGATTTTTCATTAGTTAAAACATGTGTACTCAATTTAAACGAGGAAGAAGCATCGACGTATTACATACATACAGTACGTCCTATACCATTCAAATAATTTTCGTTGTGACAACATGATCGTTATATAGTCAATAAGATAATATCTAGAAGCTCTGGATATTTTCATGGAGATGGGAAACGAAGGTGTGAAGTTTAGCGAATTCACCATCGCGATTGTGTTCTTTCTGCTTGTAGACTTGTAGTACTACTCTCGCATGACTCTCGACTTCCACACGAACAAGAAGATCCTCGAAGAAGTTGCCATCATCCCATCAAAGAGGCTCCGCAACAAGATCGCTGGATTCTCCACCCACTTGATGAAGCGTATCCAGAAGGGACCAGTCCGTGGTATCTCACTCAAGCTTCAAGAAGAGAAGCGTGAGCGCCGCATGGACTTTGTCCCCGACGAGTCTGCTATCAAGACTCTAGAGATGCTTGCTTCCCTTGGAATGTCCGAGGTTACCGGCTTCTCTGTTGAGCTCCTAACTCCTTAACCAGGCCTACCAAGTTTGTTACTATTAGGCCTTTCTAGAGAAAGGATTGGCCCTTTTTTTATTTACTGTACAGTTAAAATGAAAAGTATTCTGCAATGGTTTTTTGAGTTTTGATGATCGGATGATCATTTGTTTATGCATAACCATGATTGGTATTTAACAAGAGAAGTATAACTTGACATTCAAGTCACACTGGAACCAAAATTATACTGTATTTAACAAGATTGAGAAGGATAAATTGGTACTTTCCCATGACGTAGGGATTAATTTAGGTTAATTGAGATGGATAATGGATACTGGAGGGAACTTGTTGTCGCTCTCTACTCCAGTCCACACTTTCCTTACTCCGCCACCATTCTCCGGTGGCCTCCATATTCTTCTCACTCAAACCACCTTCGCCGGTCCGGATAAACCTGTTGGTTCTTCTTCCATTCCTTCTAATAGATATGGTTTAAAAGTCTCACTGATTCAGTCAATGTTAAAACTCAGCCTTCTAGGACGGAGTTTGGTTTGATGGTGAAGTACTATGGAACAAGAGGGGATGTGGGAAGATAACTATGATGATAACTATGTGTAAAGCACATCTATGTGTTCATGCGGCCTCTTGTTTTTTTCTATTTTGGGAGATATATGATATGATAACTCTAATATTAACCGTTTTGTTCATATAGATCTTGAATCCATTTATCCCAAAAAAAAAGCTATGGGAAAATAAAAGATGCGTTGATCTTAAGTTATATTTAGCTAATTTCTCCAAACCGTATTTTAATGTTCCATGAAGTATATACTTGTTTTCAAGTGTTTACAATTTATGAAAAATGTTAGTTATGTCCTAATTCAAGAGGTCCTAACTCCTGACCATATCCATATGTGATCTTGAAAGGCAAAATTAATGAAAAATGTTAGTTATGTCCTACTTTTTCCTTTCAACCGAGAGCTTGTGAAAACAATGGAAGGAGCCAAGTCAATTAAGGCCAACATATGCTTACTTGAAACCGCCTTAAGATCTGAGAACTTTTCTAGAAACCGTAAAATCGCTTTCATAATCGCCCTAAAATCGCCCATTGCATTGTTCTTCCTTTTTATGTCAAAAAATATGTATCGTCATTTCGTAGCTATTTACCTTTTTTTTTTTTAATTTCTGAAAATTGTCAAAGAAGAGAAAAAGATTTCACAATGAGGTTGAAGAAGCACCGCTGAGAGAAGAGGAAGCAGAACCGAACGAGAAATTCTCTCGACGCTATATTGTCGGCGAATCAACGGAGGTTTCAGTTTTCATGTTTCAGTTTTCCTTTTTCTTACTCTGGTCTCTCTATCGTCATCGTCGTCGTCATCTTACTCTTTCTTATAGTAGAAATAATCCTATAGTAGAAATCAAAATCTAAAAACCAAAACCAAAACCAAAATCTAAAAAACGAACATTCATGATCTAAAAGTTAAAAACATGGATTTTGGTTTATACTTGCAAATGGGGTAGTTTTTAGAAAAAAAAAAAAAAAAAAAAAAAAAGGTTTCCCTTAGTTGTAGGGAGTTTTTTTTTAAAAACAAAATCCAAAAGTTTAAAAACCACAAACAATCAAGGCCGGAAAGATTGAAGCGTGTTTATTTGATCCGGCAGAAATGGACAGATCGATCTGACGGTTGAACCACATTATCTAACACCCCTGCTGAAATCTTCACCCTTAATTTTATATAGAGACTTTGCTTTGCTGGGCTCTATGGCAAATTGACTTGCACCATCCCTAATACCTATGATCATTTTCCAGCATATATGGTCCTAGTATCAGACAAATATAAAGAACTCGAGTTTGTTTGTTAAATTTGTTTGCTTCTTCTATTATCATTTTCCATTTATTTTTGTTTCTTCTGTTGGCACACGATCCAAACGCACGTTAGTCAACCGGCGACTTCCTGTAGGTTGACCTCTTTCTCTATACCAGGGATGTTTGCTTTCAGGAATTCAAGAAATGTATCTGTATCGATCGACTTGACATCATCTGGATCAACACCTTCTTGTTTGTTCTTCAGTTTCGTGCACTCCAAGTTGTCTTTAGATCGTTCCGTTTCATCGTTTAGACCCTTCCTACCCATGCCCATGTTCAAAGTAACTATATAAGAACCACATAATTTCTATTATATCATCGAAAACATAATTTCTATTATTACCCAGAAGAAGCAATACGACTTCTTCCTCGCGAAATTAATCCTTCCGTGTGCGCCAGTTATGAGCAAGAGGATCTGTCACAGGGACGATACAACGATGAGTTTTCAAATCGTAATGTGGTTCATAATTGCATAGTTTGCATTCATTTCGTTGCATATGAAGAAAAATCAAGTAAATTACTAGGTGAAGTAACTGAAGTTGAGAGAAGCAGAAGTTGACTTGTTACTCAAGTTCTAACAGAACCCTAAAGACATGGATAAAGAAGTAGCAAATCATTAGCTAATTCAAATACTAATATAAGGGTTTAGTTGAAAACTCAACTAAAGCAAATGAACAACAACAACAACAACAACAAACCCACTCCATTCTCAATCACATTAACCAAATCCTCAGATGAATTCAATATATAAACCCCATTAGTCCACCCATCAACAAAACATCAAACACCACGCAAACCAAAAAACAACTTGAGAATCCAAATAAAAACATAAAATATGGCCAAAGCTCTTCACATAACCATCATCATTCTAGCCCTCATATCCTTCAATCTCCTCGCATTTATCAACTCCGCTAGACTTCTCGACCAGATCCAACCTCAGCCTCAATTAGTCCCCACCGGCCAATTCCCCACCGTGGCTCCAACCGAAGCTGAGGAGGACGTTGACGAAACCGACGATAACCCACTACCAACAACCACAGCCACAACCACAACAACATCAGCAGTTTCAGTCCCCGCCGTATCAGCAGGCGCCACAGCAGGTCAACACGAGCCGTTACTAGAATTCTTCATGCACGACGTCCTAGGCGGGTCCCACCCATCGGCTCGTGTGGTCACCGGAATAGTAGCTCAAACCGAAGTGAACGGTATACCATTCTCAAAGGCAAGCAACAGCATCTTCCCGGTGGATAACGGAGTCCCACTAGTCAACTCAAACAACATCAACAGCGTCATTAACCCAAACACAGCTCCACTTCTCACCGGACTCGGCGGCGCTCAAACAAGCACCGTCATCCAAAACACTAACGGCAATTCCAACGACGCACTCAGCTCCAACAACCTCCCCTTCGTAACCGCCGGGAACCTCCCTCCCGGTGCTGCACTCCAGCATCTCATGTTCGGAACCATAACCGTTGTAGACGATGAGCTAACCGAAAGCCACGAGCTTGGTTCAGCTGTTATAGGTAAAGCTCAAGGCTTTTACCTAGCCAGTTCCTTGGACGGCACGAGTCAGACTCTTTCTCTGACTGTATTGCTACACGGAGAGCATGACAGTCATGACACTTTAGACGATGCCATTAGCTTCTTTGGTGTTCACCGGACCGCCTCTCATGCCTCTCAGATCGCAGTCATCGGCGGGACAGGGAAGTTTGAGCACGCCAAAGGGTATGCGATAGTGGAAACTCTGCATAACCAGAACAACCAACATATCACTGATGGTCAAGACACCATCCTCCATTTCAGTGTATACCTCACCTACAAAGCTTGAAGAGCAAGAAAACAAAAAACAGAGTAAAAAACAAGAAATGATTGCTTTTGTATATGTTCTTGCTCACTAGCTTCTCCTTTTGCCTTTTTCTTGTATTGTGCAAAATCTGTTGTCCAAAGAATATTTTATTTAAATGAGACTGTTTTAATCAAAAATCTTGCTTCATTTCAATCCACACAAAAAGCCTTTTGAAAACACTTTGACAAATCGGTACAAGTGACAAGTCACAGTAACCTTTTTTGAAGCATATGTGACTTGACTTGCTAAGAGGCCAATCCTAGACCTGCCTATGTTTATACACAAATTCCTCAAAAGCTATACATCTTACCTTTGATGATGCAAAGCCAAATGAAACTACTACTACTCTCTATTCTCAATCAAAATGCAGAGAATGCGAAAAAGAATCACTCTATACTCTACATGAAGCTGACAACCTCATCCAACAACTCATCCACTATCAAACTTTCTAACTCACAAACCACTGACTCATCATCAGATTCAAGTTCTAACCAGTCATCAATGTCTATCACTGGCACTTTTGCAAATGACTCCTTCTTAGCTCGCTTCTCTTGCCTGGCAAGTACTTTCCAGAGCTCTTGTTTCAATCCATTTGTGCTTAGCACAATGCCAAGCCTCCTAGAAACAGGTTTCTTCCATGTTGGTGTAGCTGTAAAGGATTCAAGAATCTCCACCAGAGCTGAATTGACTCTGTCAAACAAAATCCTTCTTTCAGATCTCTTCCAAGATGTCTCTGTGTAATATTTCTTCTCCAGCTTCTCAAAGATCTTCGGGGTGATGACGAAATCCCAATTCTTGTCTCCAAGTAAAACTTCAGCCAAGATATCGTCAACGTAAGAAGAATCTCTGCTTTCTTGAGTATCCAAGAACACAATTGGCTCACTTTCCTCGCTTTCTTTGGCTTCATCAATCACAGACTCTTCATCATCGCTTGAAACTTCCATCCCACTCCCATCAGAATAACTCTCCGATTCTGATTTCAGTGTGTCAATCTGTTTCTCTAGACCTGTTGGGATTGTAAATCAGTCAAAAATTTAATTCCATCAAAAGCACAGAAGCTAAACTTATTCCTTACCATGAAGATCAAGATGAGGAACTTCTTCACAATCGTCTAACGAATCATCATCAAACATTGGCTCCAGAACAGAAACAGGGCTAGGTTGATGAGCTTCTTCCGAATTCGTCTGACATCCAGAGGGAGATGCATTGGAGACACAATCTGAAGAATCCTTGTTATCATCCTGCAGTTCATGAATCTGCATCACATTTTCGTTCCAATGCAACACATAGGACAATTTGGAAAAGGTTATAAAAGAGTCCATTGACGTTACCTTGCTAATGAAACCTGAACAAGTCATATCCCTAAACTTCACATCTGCTGCAGCAACTCTGTCTCGCTCAAAACTCAACGACGAGTCCCTACAAGTACTAACCATCAACTTGGAACCAACTTCTCTCACAGGCGTCACAGCTCTATCACAAAGTTTCTTCCTTTCATTTGGTTTCTGCTCAAGAATGGTAAAGTATTGTCCTTTCTTCCTATCTCTCAACTGAGAATCAATACCAAAACCAAGAGGAGAAAAAGATCTAGGAGAATTCACTTTCTTCCCGGTTTTGGATTTCAGATGATCAACACTTGTATGATGATGTCTCAACTTCAATTTCACGTTTTGCTGATCAAATCTCCTACCAAATTTCCTGTGGTTTGCTATCTCTCCATGATTCTTCGATTTCATACCTTTCTTCTGATGAGGAGGCGTCGATTGTGCATCGATTATACCTTTAGAGGCCAATAAATCTGGTTTCTGGAGATAAACACGACAGAGTTCCTTCGTTGGAATCACCTTAAAACCAGAACTGGAAATCGAGCTCAAATTTTGGATTCGTTGGCTCTGTTTCTCAATAATCTTCTCTTGATGCAGAGGTCGAAAGAGTCCATTGAAACGCATCGATCTGGCAATCACGGAGGATCTGATTTGCTTATCAGACTCCATCTCTTTCGACCTTCACACCAGAAGCTTACGAAATGGCAACTCTTCCGGAATTCAACATAAAACCCAGAATTTAATCTGCACAAATTAAAGGAGACGATTGCTTTTGTAAATCAGAGAAGTAACAACTAACAATTAAATCGGAAAACAAAAAGAGTCACGTTTCGATCGAGGAATAGCAACAAAGAAAAGGATATCAACGACAGAGAGAGAGAGACCAAATCGAGAAAAAGCAATCTGACCTTTTTTATTTGTCAGTGAAGAAGATGTTCAGAGATTCGCAGATCCCATACGAGAAAAGAAGCTTTGCGAGAGAAGATTTAACAGGAGATGATGATTAGATTCACTTTGCAAATATGAATTTATTTCGTAAAAGGAAACACGAGCGGATAAATTTGAAAATATGCATGAGATTTTGGTCAACAGAGATTGATGGAAGACAGATAACAAACAGCTCTCTCTCTCTCTCTCTTCTGGGTCGGTCACAATCTCCTGAAGAGAAGAGGAAAACGGAATCGAAAGATGGTCAGTTACAAGAAACAAAATCTATGGCAATTTAATAATTAAAAGTAATTTAATTTTTAAAAACACAGTCCAATAATTTTGGCATATGGGGCCGCCAAAACGATACATGCAAAGAAAACGACGTCCGCTTCTCACTCTCATGTTTATTTTATTTCCCTCGTCAAACTTCAATATTCAAAAACAACAATATCTTCAAATTTAATGCAAATACGGAAATACACACAATATGTGCCGAGCAAATAAAATGAAGAAAATACACGATATGTTAGAGAAATAATTCAATTGGTGACTTTTTAGATTTTACAATGATTTTTTTTTCTTTCTAATGTTTGTTTACATTCAATGACATAAATTGATTAAGATTTATTTTTTTATTCATAAATTGAATCAGATTTATGTTTCATGAAAATTTTATAATACAGTAGGTGTTTTATTTTATTTCCCTCGTGTTTATTTTGTAAAAATATATAATCTGAAATATATTGTTGTTATGCACCTTTTTCCTAATGAGTTTAATAGCACCCAACAAATCCAACTTAAAAATATCAGATTTGGGAAATTTATTTATGACGATTTTTTTTATTCAACATTTGCAAATTATTCTACTGTTGTTCTTAATTGTTACATTTCTTATCTTACTTATTGCCACAACCGCAAGTAGTAAAATCAGCCGGGCTTGTAATTTTGTTCCCCGAATGCGCACATATGATTTGACAAGTTGAAGATTTAGACTTATGCTTCCAAGGGCAAATACAGCCACCAAATAGACATGCGAGAGGCACTGGACATGGTTGCTTCTCGTATTTGCAATCTACATTGCACTGACACCTACTTTCTACCATTGTTATACCTTCAAATCAAATTATCCAAACAAACAGAGATATGAATAAACAAATTGACATATTGATATATGAATAATGAAAAATCAGAGATATGTATACGAGTCAAGAACTTACATAAAGCAAATAAGAGGAACAAAGCCAAAAACAAGGTTGTTTTGTTTGAGTTCATCATCTCTATGCTACAATATTCAATTTGTTTTTATGGCTTTTGAGTTTTGAGTATAGAGGTGCCGTGGATTATATAGGATTTTAATTTTCTCTTTAATTTATGATACATAGGATTTATATGCTTTCTTATTTAAGTAGTCTGGTCAATCAGATCACTAGACATATATAGGGCATTATTTACTGTCATGGATTACTTTTCTACTCTAGATATGTTTAATCAAGGATTACATTTGTAATCTATTCAAAAAAAAGTTATGTTTTGACTCTTATATTGAACAACACATGTAATTGTTTATTGACTATTATTAAGATATTGTTATTATATGATAATCTATAACAGTAATATATTTAAAGCTTATAATTAGGCAATATTATTGGAAATTGACTATTTTTCTTTCAAAATTTGTAATATATGTCTATCTACACGTGATGAATTGTCACTATTAAAATCGACTGTTAGTGATAATTCTTAATTTATGAAGGAAATGAAATTAAGCAAAGTGATTACTCCAATAAATTTTCGTTTTCGTCTCTTAGAAAAAGAAAAAAAAAAAAAAAGGTTTACAGAAATAATACATGATCCAGGCTTGAACAAGTTTTTAACCAAACAAGCCTTGAGAATTTCATGTCAAGATGCTACTTGTGTCTTAAACTACCTAATGCGCTACTTGTTTCGCAAGATCTTGGTTCAAAAACCAAAACGGTTAATGCCACTTCACATTTTATCCTTTTCACCGTGTGATACTGCAACAAAGTCTTCAGCTTTCACTGGTTTATGCAGCTGCAGTACAAAAACCATTGTTCTCAAGCAAGTTAGGAGCTAAACGAAAAAAGACCACAACTTTGGAACCAATCAATGAGAGATGGTTGGGACTGAACACTCACCGCTTCGGCGATGCTAAACCAATGAAAAGACCGCAAGAAAGTATCGTCTTTCGAAGGAAGAGTGTCGTGATTCCAGTATGTCATTCTATCGAACTTGGCCTTCGCTTCCCAACACGGCTTCTCTTCTTCGGGACTAGAAGCTTTTCTCTTTCCATTAGCATTTCGGTTACTTGCTTGTCCAAGCACAAAACCTGAGGTTGTTCCACATAAACAGACAAATCACCATTGAAATGTGAGTTAGCCAAAACTTAATTTCTCCAACACCAAGGATAATCTTATGAAACGAACAACATAATCAAAACATGTTAGAGAATTTGTCACAACACTCTCTAGCTAAGATCTCCAAAGGCATGAACTTTTCACTAATTCAAACGTCTCTAAGGAATTAACACACACAAGAAATTCAAAAGTTTCTACCTTTTCATGAGTAAAGGAAGAAGAAGAGAAAAGGTTTACCAGAATAGCCGCTAGGGAGTGAGATAGTTGCTCCCTGCAACTTCCTTCCTCTGAAATGAGCTTCTTCTGTTCTTACTCCATCAATTTCGACCTCTACGGTTGAAACAACGTGACCACATTAATCTCACCATACAAGTGAAAACAGAAGTAGAATGTATACATAATAATGTTGTTTCTTACCACTGGATGTAGGCTTGAAATAGTGGGAAACTTGAGAAGGACCATCGAATCTAATGCAGCAAGGGAGCTGGTGAACTTGACTGCTGATATCCGGAACCGAGTTTTCATCTGCAGCAGCCCTGAGGTCTATGGTTCCCATCAAGCCCCACTTGGATCAATTCGTCAGATTTCTGTAGCACAATTTGCAAAAGTAATTAAGTAAGAAGGAGAAGATGGGTGATTTAAGCTTGTTACGAGACTGTCATGCGGTACTATGATTAGAATAAAAGCAGTTATGAGAGTTTAAACACTTCATTGGTAATCAAAGATACAATGCTGAAACCTCAAACCCATAAAAATGTCACATTTGAATGTAACTTCCAATTGGTATTTGCTTCACCACATGAGCAATCGTTTAACAACTAAAACACTGGTAAAGAAAACAATTCGCCGCAAAGTATCGATTTTGATACTTGAAAGATAAGAAGCAAACGAACCCAGGAGCGACAGAGAAAACTAAGTAATTCCAGAAAATTCATCAGAGATTACCCTCCAAGTCCCCGATTTGGAGTTCTAATTCGTACCGAGAGGTCTATCTATTTAGTGAAACCAATTTGGTCGCGAGATTTGGTAGAGAAGAAGGAAACTAAAAAGGGGAATGCGCAATTCTTACATTACAAATCAGGCAAGGTCGCAATGGGAGTGTAGTCGAGACGGAGAAAGCTAAACCACCGCGAGAATTCGTTTTGGAGAAGACAAGGAAAGAAAATAGGAAATCAAGGAACGAAGGAGAGTTACAGTATATATAGTTCCAGTTTACTCGCCTCCTAAAATGATTGGAATCGCACAAAAACATAAATTATTTCTACTTAATTTTCTATTATTTGCTTTTCTTGTGAATTATTATACCTCTGGCTCTAGGTGTGTTGGTCTTGATCCTGGTTCAAGTGCTTGGCTTCCAAGAATCAAACTGTAATTACCTTCTAAAATGATCTTTATTTTCTAGTGGAGTTTATGTGACAGGAACATTCACTGTTGCATCACATGGAAATCTATCAAAGGAAGAGACGGATCATATGACATGACTGAATCATTCTCAAAGCTCTAAAGAAGCAACAACATTTGGTATCTTAATCTGATAAAATAAAAAAACCCCATGATTTCTTCTTATTACCAGTAATGGTTTTACAAATGCTGCTGAGATTGGAAGGAGAAAGATATTGCAACACTAAAGAGATCCATTATAGCTTCACTCCAACACTTAAGCTTTCGTCATTTTTTTTCTCTCCTATTTTCCTTTTACACCACTCACTAGTCACTAAGGCCTGAATCTATTACTAATGGCTTAATCAAGATGGTTTTACTTCTAAAGAACTCGAACAAAACATCACTTGGCATCACTTGAATTGAACATGAGATCATTGATTCTTGTGATATCAAGGTCAGAGATTGGATCTATAGGCCTCTCGTCCCCTTCCTCCATCTGCTGATCAAACTCTCCAGGCTCTCGACTGTACTCATCTGCCACAATAACAAACAAACAAACCATTTGAGTATCATCACCAATAATATCATCGCATCACTGCAAGCCAACTTCAAGCCACACAATGCACACAGAACACTTCACTAATGCAATGGCATATAGAGAGAGCGATGAAGCGGACACTCACCAAACAATGTGTTAAGAGAGGTTGGAGGTGGAGTGGCGATGAAGTTGAGACCAATGTAAAACGCCAAAGCTAACAGCAAACTCACCATCAGATACGTCGGCATAGCCAAAACCCAGTACCTGCTTGGGTAGTAATGAATCCCAATAGACTCCAACACTTTATCTGGTACATAGGCCCATATCAAGAAGATCCCTGTGGCGACAACGGTCGATATGGACCCTACAAAGCCATATACCTCTGAGGGTTTTGGTCCTTGCACTTGCGATGCTTTAAACGGAGACGGCCTTACGCTGTCTGAATCCTGGAAACCGGGCTGCTTCTGCTTCTTTCTCTTTGAGAAGCTTAAAACTCGTCTCGGACTATTCACTGAGTGAGCTTCTTCCATGTTTTCGACAAAGGTTGCGACTGAGAGAAATCACTGAAATTTGAAAAGAAGAAGGAAAAATCAGTCCTTGGTTTTTTCTCTCCCTTTTAATGGAGGTTAATGCGAATATGAGCACGCAATTGCTTTTCTTGACAAGAAAAATGAGACTATTCCACAAAGCCATAACTCCACAAAGACAATTCCACAAAGTCATAGATATGCTAAAAATGAATCCAATGTTCCAACAGATGATTCCAGAAAACAAATTCAACAACCCAAGTAATCTTCGAACCCGTAATCGTAATTTGGGAAGTGACCATGTTCAGAAACTACAAGATATCTCTCATTCGAAACTAGAAAAAAAAAATCGTAAGGGATGATGGAAAAAAAACTCAGAGCAATCAAAACAACTTACCCGACTGTACCGACCAAAAGGGTGATCTTTCTCCACGTGAAGCTCCGTAATCCGATCTATCTCAAGCTGTGTTGCGAATTTGTAAATTGATTGTAAGCATTCTATCGGATTTCCCAAACCCAATTAACCGAAAATTGAACCGAAAATTGTGAGAACAACAAGAGAAAGGCAACACCAAAAGCTTCTCCAGAGTTTGTGTAACGGGAAAAGACAAATCAATCCCAACTTAGAAATCCACCGAGGATTAAAGTCGAGAATACACTCTAGAAGATGATCTAAAAGGGAAGAGAGATCATCTCGAAGATATGAATTCGTATGATGATGATCGATAGAGAGAATATAGATTGAAGAAATTGTTAAACCGTAAGTTTAATTGATTATGATTTCTGATTGATTCAAGTAATTGTTTGCTAAACCTTAATACATAAATGAAATCATTAAACCGGATATGAGATAAATGTAACCATAAAATCCTGTAACAGTTTGATTCTTGATTTTTAAACCAGGTCCAATCCAACCATTAATCAAAAATTTGGGAACTGGTAAAATTGGGGGATGGGGAGGCCCGCACGAGAGAGTTCTGCAAAAGTAAGCAGCGTCAACACTCGGCCAGCCTATTTCCCTTCCATAAATTCTTGCGCCACTTTCTATGTTACGTTAAGCGCTGCGACCGGCTCTCACCGCTCGCTTTGTTTTCCTTACTCATTAGTTTAAGGCAAGTTTTAATCGTCGTTGCTCCTCAATTATTTATACTAGCTTCCACCGAACTCTCGCGGCTCAGCTTCCCGATGTGGGACAAAACAAAACAACCTTTTATCATAAATCAAACCCAACTCTATCCAAATGATTTCGGTTCGGTTCGAGCTTGACTAAAATCGAACTGATCTACCCAAACCGAAATCGAAAACGACTCTGACTAGATTGAACTCAGTCAATTCACTAATCTTTGGCTGAATACTTTATTCACTGAGAGGGTCGAAGACAAGTTATAATATTTCTAGGAATACGCATAACAAAACTAGTTATACAGTTACAAAGGTAAATTCTTTTCTTCATATATCACACTTGTCTATTAAATTGTAAAGCTTTTCAGAACCGTGGATGAAAGAAAACGGAGACAGCTAGCTAACAGTGGGATCTAGCGTGCTCAGGTTTGTGAGTATACTCATAATCGAGATGCACAAAAGCACGTTCGATCTCCTCAAGCAGCTCGAGCTTCTCTTGTAGCGACTCTCCAATGTCGTGAGCCACTTGCAGAGGCATATCAGCGGGAAGAACAATATCAACTTCAACAAAGTAGTGAGAGCCGAATGTGTAGGCCCTTACGGTATCAATGTGCCTGATGGCCTTGTGGTGGTTCCAACACAGGTAAGTTAGTTTCTGAAGAAACTCTGGCGTTGCTGATTTTCCAACAAGAGAGTTCACGTTCTCCAGAACCGTCATTGACCATGTCCGTATCGTGTACAATGCAAGCTACATGAATTCAACACACACATACATATCAGTAACAAGTAGAGAGAAATTTATCTGTATAAGAGATCTTCATCACTTACAATGATAGCTCCAACTGGATCCATCCAATTATCAATGTAATTAGCTAGGATTACTGCAATGAGTCCAATGATGTTTGTGATGACGTCAAAGAAGTGGTCTTGAGCATAAGCTTTGACAATCTCGTTACTGAAGGATCTGCAGTAGAGAACCAGAAGCAGTTTCACCAATGTCACAGAGAGCATGATCCCAACCACCCAACTCTCTTGCCACTTTGTTAGGCTGAACTCCTTTTGCTGTATAATACAACATGTGAAGCAATTTGTGTGAATAATGTACAACTTTTAAAGCTCTAGAGCAAAGTTAGGTGATATCAAGTGTCAAACAAGGTCTACAATGCATACACTGGAGAGCATCGTGCGTAGAGATTCCAAGATGATTTGCAACCCAAGTGTGGCCATCACTGATGCAAAGACTAGGATTCCCTGAGAGGATTTTGATCCAAGAATATTAATATCACAAAACAAGCTTGCTTAGACCGATTCAGTAACATCATATATAAGATAGAAAGATGCAAAGTGAAGACAAACCAATGGTTGCATTCTTTTCTTCCCAATGGGATACTGATAAGGGTTTGGTGTCTGCATCGAGAAGGCGGTGAACCAGAGAATGAAGCCAGAGAGAAGATCAAGAAGAGAGTCCAATGTGGACGCAACAATTGCTAAAGAGCCGCTTGTGACGGAAGCATAGACTTTAGCAGCAAAAAGAACCATGTTTGCAATGTTTGATATTCTAATCGCCAATGTCTCGCTTTTAGCCAATTGATCTTGCTCTTCCTATAAATACAACACAGATAAGTATCAATAAACAAGAACAAATGGATCAAAGGTTTAGAAAAAACTGTGGAAGAAGAGAGAAGGAGCATCATCAAAGCTACTAACCTTTGACATTCCAGGGACAAAGCCACGTGCTGCAAGTTCATCCATTTCAGTAAAGCCTTCAAGCATTTGTACTTGCTGCTGGTAATAATCTGCCACATTGTCTTCCGGACCTGCAACCGCCAAGACACATAGCTTCACAAATCATTCCCAATTTTTTTGGCACAGCAAAAATGAATCAAGAAAAGTTTAAACCCAGTTCAGCTACAGTTGCTTCTCACTATATTAGATCACAGTTGTCAATAGAATCAAATCCTTTTTAAGCTAAAGCATTTGTTCTGTACTTTTAAGTATTGAGTACTAAAGCTTCAATCAGGCCATATTATGGAAGATTGTGATCAGTTGGTCAATCATGTTCAAAAGAAACATTACTCCCAAAATTCAAGATCAGGAGAAGTAAAAACTCATGAAAAGGTCCATGTAATGTGCCAGAAATTTGAGCTGAATATTGAATATCAAAGCTTCCGTTTTTATTCAGACTTAACACTACCAAAATCTCAAGAAAAGCTTGAACTTGATCAAATGAAATATGTTTTTAGAAATCAACAGAGCTAATAATAGCAATCAAAGACGCCCAACTCAAGAGTCAATCAATCCCAAAACGCGAAATCATTTTTTTTCCAAACAAAATAGCCCAATCTTAATCAAAATATCAATGCTAAAGATATGCAGCAGAGGAAAAGAAAAGGGGAAATGACGAGAGGAATAGAGAATTTACCCAAACAGCCAAGACAGTTGTGGAGTTTGCTGGGCAGTTTCTTCACCTTGTGCTCCCGGGAAACCTGGAAATCGTCGAAGTTTAGCTGCCAGGAGCGATCACCGTTGCCGTGAAACTCGAGCAGCGAGATCCCTTCGTCGCCATCGGGACTAGCTGGCCCAACCATTACCCCCGGTGAGATGGAGATTCGCGGCGGGAGAGATTTGGAGTCGGAAGCTGATTATGTCTGGGTAGTAGTAACGGTGAGGGTAGGGAAATGTAAATTTGGAGAGACAATGAGGGTAAATCGGGTAAGTTAAGCGACAAATCCGAGGAAATTACTAACTACGACTGGTGTGGTCGACATACAAGTAGCCACAGAGATACTTGGACCAGCCCAGAGACAGAGACGTCTTTATTAAATGTCTACGTGGCGTGTTTTCAATCGATTTAGTATCCCGCACGTGATTGGGAAGTCATCTTGCACACGTGTACAGCTGAGATGAAACTACAGTTAAGCCCCCCGTGTTACATGTACTTATTCTGAAGATATAACGCAACAAAATTTAAACAATGATGAAAATTTGGGGAACGATTATAAGATACCCACGATTTGGTAGGTACGAGTCTGACCTAACATTATATTATGCGTGTCCGACAAACAAGTACAGAACATGTGGAACAAAATAACATGAGATATTTGGTGGTTTTTGTATCAATGTTTTTTGATAAACAACATGTAATGGGTTTTAATAGCAGAGTTGACACTAACCGAACAACATGGACATGTATAGACTATAGAGGAAGGGCTTGTTCCCTTATTGACAAGCAAAAGCTCGTTTCCTAATCAAACGGTTTGAGGTTCGTTTTCATTTTATGGTTAGTACTGTTCGGTATGGTTTGGCTTGGTTAGGTGAAGATTGTATGCCTTGATATGGAATTTTCTGTAAATTCAGTCCAAAGGTTACTTGTTTTAATCAATGATAACAATTTTTGCTTCAAAATATTTTCTTGGACTAATTAAATTGTTGTTTTCTATCGTTTGGGAAGTCCAAATCAAAGATAGTCATACATAAATGGAGAAAAGAAGAAGCAAAAACCAAAACAACTTAAGAAATATAGAGAAGAAAAGAAAAGTAAAATTCTAGTTACACGTGAGATAACATCAAATTTTCTTGAATACATCGAGAACAAATATGGGCTTTACATAATGGTTATGGCAAAAGGCCCATTATAATATTGAAAGGCCCAGGTAATCTAGGGTTTCGTCTCTCTTTATCACTCTCGTGAACTCCACAATAAAACTGTCTGCGGCTGCAAATTTAGCTAGGGCTTTTCATCTGCTTCACCTCTCCAGGTTCGTTCGTCTTCCTCCACCTTCTCCTTCACTGCTTCTTCCGCATTATTCATCATCTGAATAAACTGTTTCGGTTTCACAAACTATCTGTAGAAAGCTCGAAATCTTCGTTTGCTTCCATTCGTTCATTTCATTTCCAAATTGTTAACTTACCTGATATTTCTGATTTTCTACCAAATTTCTCAGATTCCGAGTGGGAAGAATCATCCTTAGCAATGTCTCCAGCTAAAGGTACGAGCTTTCATCGATAATCAAATTCCTTGTGTCTTGTTGAATACTGGATTGCAGTTTTATGGAAACGCTAAAACCTGGATTAGATTAATCTGTTCAATAACATCTCATACTTATGTGTTTGAGAATCTTAGAGTGGATTTGAGCTATTGATTAGTTTCTGAGATTTTTTTCATGTATTAGATTGAGTTTGAGCTGTAGATTAAACCCTTAGGTATTTGGATTATCTATGTATCATAGTAAATTAAATCCGTAAGCTTTCTATCAATCAATTAGTTTGTTCGTCTGAAAATTGAAATTATTTTTCTCTTTTCCTCAGTAATCACTTGAGAGAGTGTTCAATAGTGTTATGTTCTCTAAGCATTCTCTGTGTGTTTATCATGCAGTTGATACTACGAAGAAGGCCGACCCAAAGGCCAAGGCCTTGAAGGCTGCGAAAGCAGTGAAGTCTGGCCAGAGCTTCAAGAAGAAGGACAAGAAGATCAGGACCAAGGTTACCTTCCACAGGCCAAAGACATTGACCAAGGCCAGAGACCCCAAGTACCCAAGAATCAGTGCAGTGCCAAGGAACAAGTTGGACCATTACGGTATCCTCAAGTACCCACTCACCACTGAATCCGCAATGAAGAAGATTGAAGACAACAACACTCTTGTCTTCATCGTCGACATTCGTGCTGACAAGAAGAAGATCAAGGCCGCTGTGAAGAAGATGTATGACATCCAGACCAAGAAGGTCAACACCCTCATCAGGTATATAAGTCCAAACTGTGTTTTGTTTTACCCCTTCGATTGTGTGACTTGTGAGTTTAATGTTGACACAATGGTATTTATTTTTGTTGCAGGCCTGATGGAACGAAGAAGGCTTACGTGAGGCTCACACCAGACTATGATGCTTTAGATGTTGCTAACAAGATCGGCATTATCTAAGTTTTTAATCTACTTCCGCAATTATGAAAACAGACTTGTGGTTTAGTCTTCGTCAGTTTTGCTCTAAGATATTATTACCATCTTGTGGTGATTGTAGTGTTTTGGGCAAGAACTTGTTTTCAATACATTCTTGTTGCAGTTTATCACTTGAATTCGAGTTTTATGTTTTTGGCTTCTCATTAATCTCATTAAAAAACTCGACTAAAATACAAAATTGCAGAACAACGAATGTAGTTGCCTTCTGTGACTGTATCTACCACATATTGCATTATCCATATATCCTCATTTTAGTGAATGTAGAAAACTGAGAAGTGACGAAAAACCAAAATTTCTTATCCGAGCAGACAAAAGTCACAAAACAGAAGGCAATGATCATTGATCATCCAAAGACTTCGGAGTTGTAGCTATAATGGCAGTCTCTTCACTCTCAATCCGCTATTGTGTCTCACCAACAATCTCCCACAAGGTTGATTGTATACAACATTGCTCTGATTCCCACTTTATCTCGATTTCTGATATCCTTATTGTTCATTGATTATACACATCTTCTTACCAGACAGATATTCTTTGTCCAAATCCATCACTGAAAGCTTCTTGTTCAGTTTCATCCGGCAACAATCTTGACTCCTCTGAGAATAGTAAGAAACTAAATAACTCTTCTTAACATTGTTCTCCTCATATTGCATTGGCCAGTGAATTGATTGGTATAAACATTTGAATAGCTTACCAAAAAGGAAGCGGAAGCAATTGGAAGAGAAGGCAAGCTCTTGTTGGAGTAGGAACCTTATTGGCAACTTCAGCTCCAGCAACCTTGCTTCTTGCTGAAGGTAACCTGTCAAAAATGACTTCTTTTATTGTCTCTTTATCTTCTTCATTCTTTTGGAGCCAAAAGCATAACTCTGTTTGGTCGTATAATGTGTTTTTGCAGAGATACCAAAAAGCTACTCTGCTTTTGTGGATCGACAAGACGGGTATTCTTATTATTACCCATCAGACTGGAGGGTGGGTAAGCTATGGCTTTGTATTATCTTGTTGTTTGGATGAAACTTAAGCTTTGAGATGATCTTAGTTCTTGGCAAACTTGTATATAGGAATTTGACTTCAGGGCACATGATTCAGCCTTCAAAGATAGATACTTGCAACTGCAGAATGTTCGAGTCAGGTTCATACCAACTGAGAAAAGCGACATCCGCGAAATGGGTCCTATGGAAGAGGTATGTATATTGCTCAGATCTCCCTCTCTCTCTCTAACATTTGAAGACTCACATTGGTTCGTCATTCTTGTATGTTCATCAGGTGGTATATGATCTAGTGAAGCATAAGTTTGCAGCACCAAACCAAGTAGCTACCATCTACGATATGAAAGAGGTAAGATTCTCATATTTGTTACATCTTCAAGAATTATCAAAGTTTTGAGAAAATGAAAATGCAGAGGGTGGAGGATGGAAGGAGCTATTACACGTTTGAGTATGGACTAAGAACTCCCATCTATGCAACCACTTCCTTTGCAACAGTTGCTGTTGGAAACAGTAAGAACAGGATATGATATTGATTTTAATGATAAATGAGAGAAGAAAGTGATGAATAAAACGTGTTTGATTGATTTTTGATGTTGCAGACAGATACTACACACTCATAGTTGGAGCCAACGAGAGAAGATGGAGGAAAGTGAAAAAGCAGCTTCAAGTTGTAGCTGACTCTTTGCAGATCCTTCAGATTTGACAACACACAATAAATACTTCCTATTACTCTTCATAAATCGTATGAGATGATATTTTATATTTTCTACTACTCGGTTTAGTAAAACTGTAAAAGAGATGAAATTTCAATCAAACTTGCATTAAAAAGCCCTGCAAATAAAGTGAATACAATGTATTTACAGAAACAGACAGCCTTTTCTTCCTAACCATTACACATTCTCCACCTAAATCACTCACAGCAACAACAAAACAAAAAAGCAAACCCAGCAAATAAACTGCCTCTAATCTTCAGTTTCAATAAACAAATTTGATATACGTTAAGAAACACACAAGCAATGAAGAAACAACAGTCCTATGTCTCCATTGCTTCGTCTCCTAAAAGAATAAGGGAGAATCTACGCCTACAAGCTCCTACTTTGCTTACAGAAACTAACCCTGGTTGTACAGCTTCTCCTCATTTGGTTCGACCGATAAGCTTTTGATCAGATTGCAAGTTAGATCAGTCGATGTTGGCGTAGACCTTTGCCGAAATGTGGTTGCATTAACCGCATATACAATCCGTTCTTACCCGCTAAAGCATCGTGCGTACCTTCCTCTACTATTTTGCCTCCGTTGAGAACCACAATGTTATCCACATGTCTCATCATCGCTGCTCTATGCGCTATCAGAATCGTCGTCTTGTTTCCCATTATCAACGTATCAAGAGCTTCCTGCACCACACGGCTCGACTCGGACTCGATAGACGAACTCGCTTCATCTATCAACAGGATCGGAGCGTTCTTCAGCACCACACGAGCTATCGCGATTCTCTGTTTCTGTCCTTGTGTGAGCTCAACACCTCTCATCCCGATGTGCGTGTCGTAGCCGTGAGCTAAGCTGCTGATGAAATGGTGAGCGTTCGCAATTCTTGCTGCTTCCTTCATCTCAGCTTCACTCGCGTTGTGCCTTGCGTATATGATGTTTTCTCTGATCGTCGTGGAAAAGATTATTGGTTCTTGTTGAATCAGACCCATGTGGCTTCTTAGCCATCTCAGATTATATGACTTCAAGTCTCGACCGTCTAGTAAGACCTGACCAGCGACTGGGTCGTAGTATCTCTCGATCAGTGATATTATTGTGCTCTTTCCAGAGCCAGAAACACCAACCACAGCTACTGTTTGTCCTCCGCTGACTTTGAGACTGAAGTTGCTTAGTACTAAGACTTCCGGGCGAGTTGGGTAGCAGAAGTCGATGTTCTTCAGCTCAATGCTTCCATAGACGTTAGGCGGACTAAGAGCTGAGGTATCATCAGGTTCGATTGTAGGCACTCGATCTATGATTTCGAATACTGAAGCGAGAGATTTGCGGCGCTTGAGAATGTAAGGTGCTAATCCGAATGGCTCGACCAGGGCAAATGTAGCGAAGGAGAAAACCATGTACTCGGTTATAGCTGTAGACAGTGTCATATAACCGCGGTTTACTGAATATGCGGTGTACCAGAGGAGGAGAGCGTTGCAGGCGAAGAGGAGAAACTGTGAGAAGCCAAACGCAAAGCCGATAGCCATCCCGTGGAGAAAGCTCTGCCTGAGGATGCGTTGAAGTTGCAGTCTGTAGAGTTCCATCACCTTGTTACCGGCACAGAAAGCAACAACAGTGTATATGTTTCTGACAGCATCCTCGAGTACTAAAGACGCCTTCCTATGCATCTCCTGGATGCCCTTTGAGAATCCAGCAAGCCAAAGTTTCTGGAAAATTTTGAGTGTTATTAGAAACCAGCGTCAGGAGTATAGACAGATATTTCTAAGCTAAGTGCATGACACAGAAAAAAACAAACATAAGAAAACAATTTTAAGCCTAACCTGAGCAATGGCAGAGAGAGTTAGTATCGGCAAAGTTGCCAATGCAACAAGGGCCAAACGCCAACCGAGCACCAACCCAATAAGAACGGCAACGATAACAGCAAAACTATCCTGAATAAGTATCGAAAGCCTGTTGCTGAAGGCAGCACGGACAAAAGTGGCATCATTTGCTAGGCGCATGGATAACGTATCCGGACTGTTCTCTTCTTCGTCAAACCATCCAACTTCATTACGCAGCATCGCTGGCAAATCAGAGAAAATCAATGAACTGAGGCAAGTGAAGGCAGTAACATGTATTGAAGTGGATTAAATAAGGAAGAAAAATATTGCAGTACCTGAGAACATCATCCTCCGAACTCTCTCTGTCATTTTCTCCCCCATAATACCAAAGTAGAAGTGCTGCAAGAAATTGGCAACAACTGTCACTATTCCCATGCAGGCAATGATCAAGCACCACTTGTCAACCTCCTCACGCAGGTGGCTTCCCTTGCTCTGATAGTATGCCGTCACTACCAATGCAATGACGTAAGCTAGAAGAGGATTGAAAGAACCAAAGATGGCAGCACCAATACTCCCTAATACAGCATATAGCCACTCTGGAACACTAAGCTGTGCCAGCTTCCAAAATGAAGGCGACTCCTTGTGTTGAGCGTCTTTAGACACCATAGCATTTGTTGAAGGGTCATCAGAATGACCAAGGGGGCGGCTAAATGTCTGTGAATGGGAGCGCTCATTTTGGGGATCTGATATCAAAAGGGGTGATATAGGGGACTCCGGATCTGAACCATTTGATTTCTGACGTTCAGGACATTGAATGTCAATTTTTGGTAGCTCTGGTAACCGCATCTCGAAACTATCTTGTCGTTTGATGGTTGGTTCTTTGTCAGCGACATCCAAAGACGAGCCATTTTCTCCCATTTTCTCAGGTGCAGGGCTGTGGTCATTGGGTGACTCTTCACTATTAACGAACATTTCCTGGGAGCGGAAAACAGCATGGGCTCTCTGAAGAGATGGAGACTTGGCCATTTTGGGTGACGATGGTTCTTGGAAACCACGCCCAGCTGAAGAATCCCTCTCGGCCTGGAACGCAGTAGACTCGTTGTAGTTCCTAACTGGCATCCTGTAAGAAGATATGAATTTCATAAACAAGTCGAATCATCAATACCCTTCCACAGATCATCACAATCAAGAGCAGTCAGATAAAAAATATTCTACCATGACTTTTACTACACAACATACTTGACAAGTTGTTGGATATATATGTCTAGGTTGGAGAATCATACCTTCTGGGTAGCTTTGTTGCTTCCTCACACTTCAGAAGCTCGGCATACAAATTACCAAGGTTGATTAATTCATCATGTGTGCCCATTTCAAGTAGCTGACCCTCCTCCATCACAGCAATATAGTCAGCATTTCTTATCAGACTTAGCCGTCGAGCTATTATTATGGTCGACCGTCCTAA